ACGGCTCATAGGACCACCATGGCTCACAATCAAGCTTGTAACTTCATGAATAAAAACCATGGAGTTTTATTGGCAATATTACACAAGTAGTTTGCCCATGTCATCGGTGTGTGTGTGTGTGTGTGTGTGTGTGTGCGCGCGTTTTAGTTTCATATCTATTTTACTGAACTGGTGCTCTTTGATAATCTTCCATCCAAATACCAACCAGGTCCAAGTCTATTTAACTTCTTATCCCAGATACGATCAGCCATGTGCTGCTACTTGCTTAGGCAATGTGGGATAAATAAAACTCTAAAAGGCTTCATTCCAGCTGGTCACTACTGTAAGCCAGTGATGCAAGTCAAATGGATTTCCTTTCTATTCACAAATCCGGTTCAGTGAGTTTGAAGACTTTTGAGAGCAGGGGACCACAGATCAGGAAGGGGAAATTCATTGCTGCTTTTTTGCAACAAATCTCGTCTCAATTTGACATTTAAAAAATAATAATAATAATAATAATGCAAATTTGTGTTAGAGTAGGCCTATTTTGGAGCAAAGTGTCCTGAATCACAGTTTTAACTTTTGTTATCTTTTTGCCTCATAGTTTAGATCCGTGAGTATTTAAGCTTGGCTAGTCTGTTGCATCTTTAAGTGTTCCACTGCGTGAAATTTATTTATATCATTAAATACAGATTCTTAACGGATTACAGATCTTTGAAGCAGGTTGCAGCTCTGGATATTAACCATGGTTGTTTTCTGACAGATCCTTGTAACCTTTTCTGTTTTAGAAAGACTGGTTGAAAGTCTCCGCCTGCCCCAAGTGCCTACCCTTCACTCCCAAGTATTCCTGTTTTTCAGAGTTTTGCTTTTAAGAATGTCTCCACAGCATCTTACCTCACTTTGGCCTACTATGATCACAGAACTGGTGAGTTCCGCTTTGTATCCACAATTGGGTAAAGAAGACCATTTTTTTAAAAGACCTAAGAATTTCTCCATATTGATTTTAAGCTATCCAGGAGATTGTTAAAGATAACAGCCCATAATTTCCCCTGAATCTGGGCTGCTGCTTCTTCTTTCCTTTCTGAATCACTAGGGTGTTTTCATCAATGAACTTCTTGTTATTATAGAATTTAGCCATTTCTATATGGATCAATATCAATATCATTACCTTATCTCAACATTTATGTTCTGCTTTCCTCGGAGAGTTGAAGGCAGCTTTGCTGGATTCCATTGTCTGCTCATTTTATACCCACAAGAACCCTGTATGATGAGTGTGCCAAGAGTGACCGACTGATTTAACATCCCCACCCACAAGAGGTCCTGTCAGTGAGAAAGGGCTTGAACTGAGCAGTCAGAATGTTAAACATTATGCAGTTCATCCCTCTTGCACAACATGACTTGATCTTCAAGGTAGCGCAGTCCAAGGGCTGCCTTTCACAACTGGGGACGTGTAGGGTTGCATTGAATGGGGCAATGATGTACAGTGGTTTAGTGGTTGACGTTATATTTAATGCTGATATCTCCCTTTAGTACCCCAAAGATGGAAAGACAGAATATAAGGTGGGTTTTTTTTTCTGTTTATAAACAATATGTGCGCTTTGTTCTTTTTACCTTCAGGTCCAAGTATTTTTACTTATGGAACAGGAGCTCACAGCTGATGAAGATATCTCAAGGTAAAGTCACTGTGATTTGCTCACTCTTGTTTGCATAGTAAGTTAAATGCTAGTGAAGGATTTTCTGATATTTTACATGAATTTTATTTTATGCTAAATAGGTGGAAAAAACTTTTCTATCCAGACTGAATAACATAATCTGTGCTAATGATAAACCACAATAAATAAGCCATTCATCCCATTTTCACATTACTCAATCAAATCTGACTCGTGCCCGGATTACAGGCACATCCTGTAAGGAACATCAGGTTATTTTTAGCCAAGGACTCCGTATTATAAAATGAGGAAGAAAAGCTAATTAATTGAAATGTACTTATTATAGTTATTTGTGATCTTTGATAAGATTATAAAAAGCAAGGCAAAAGCCAGCTATGCGATGGGTCTTTTTTTTCTGTCTGGTTTAAACACTCTTCTGCAGATTGCTAGCATTGTTGATTCAGAGCCATATTCAATGTCTGAACATTAGCAGTTTTGTCAGAGTTTGTGCTTGCTTGCCCTCTTGCCTGTCTTCCCCAGAAACAGAAATAGTCATGCAGCCAACATAAACACATATTCCAAATACAATTTATGGTTTTATTTTGTATTTTCATTAAGAATTTGGGAGTGATTCCTCCCACTTCCTATCATTCAAACCGTTTTGTATTTTGATTCATTTTGCTTGGCTCCTGACTTGTGGAGAGTTTTCTTTTGTATATAGAGTTCCAAAACCTCGTCTGTGACTTGCTGCTGCTTCTAAAACTCATATAGTTTTGAGCAAATTAGTAGACAATTATCCCTTTGGTTTGTGCTTATGATTTTTAAGCAGATGGTTAGCAGAGATGCCTGTCTTAAAATAATTCATTGAGCCAGCATTTCTCTATTCATTTGTTCCCTTCTTATTTTATTAATTTGTAAGTTCATCTGCCTTGCCAATGGTAACATTTCTTCATTTTGTGAACTCCTTTCCCATATGTTCAACTGCGAAGTGATATACCAAAATTCATTTATCAGTAGTATTAAAGCTCATTTACCCAAAGGAAAGTTCAAATATAACATAGGCTTACTAATTTTGTAAGGAAAATACTGTTATGATGTAAGGCCGGTATTCATTTGTAAAGCAGGCCAGCAGCTTTTATATATTAATTTCATTTGGTTGCAGAACTTCTGGTCCATCTGTTGCTGGGCTGGAAACAACATATACAGGAGGCAATGGGTTTTCTACATCCTACAACAGTCAGAGATGGCTGAATCTTTATTTGTCAGCTTGTAAATTTCTGGATTTGGCCCTTGCTTTACCTTCTGAAAACCTTCCTCAGTTTCAAATGTAAGTAAAACCCAGAAATGCTAGAAATATGTTTGATGGGAGAAAACTGTTCTGAAAGGGATGCTTCTTTTTGTGGAGCCATGAAAAAAGCTATCTTCTGCCTTCTAAGGATGTCCTCTTTTTCTGTAAAGTAATATTAGAAAAATAATTCCCAATAGTTAGAAGGCGAATTTCAAATGAATGTTAGAAAAAATTCCCATTAGTAAATAACTGCAACCAGTTATTGGGGTAAATGGCACACATCCCTTTATTCACCATGTTCAAACAGGCTTGACAGCTATCAATGGGGATACTTTAATTTGGTTTTCTTCACAGAGAAGGGGATTGCATGTAGTGGCCCAATTGTCCCCCTTCAATTCCACGACTGTATAAAGCCCCAATCAGCACAGCTAGGGATACTTTTGAAACAAACCCTTTACTGCCATTTCACAAGAGATACAAAATGTTGTCTTGAAAAATAGTAGATCTTCCAATCTGATAAAAGTTGTTACATATTAATTAAGCGTTATATTTTTCTCTGCATGTTAGTGCCCTGGGTATCAAAATAAGCCTGGATGTAGCACTGGATATGAATACTTCCAGGAATACAGGAGTAGGGATTCTTTCCAAATCTTGCTTGCTGAATATGCAAAATAGTTCAGAAGTGGATTTGTTTTTCCTCTTAACAGGTACCGGTGGGCCTTTATTCCAGAAGCCTCAGACGATTCCGGGTTGGAGGTGCGAAGACAAGGCACCCACCAGAGAGAATTCAAACCATACGTTGTGCGATTAGCAAAGCTATTACGAAAAAGGGCAAAGGTATTCCATTTTTTTAAAAAAATCTGGTTCAGGTACTAAACTATGGGTAAATTATAACTCCTGTTCAGATTCTATGGAAATCTTCGAAAACTAGAATTTACATCCATGCGCACCAACAAGGCTGTTCTTCCCCCTTACAGGCTGAAAGTTAGACAGTAGCCTGAGTTATTGTAAGGAGATGTATATAAAGGGTAGGATAATTCAGGGCCAGGTGTGATTTTTAAGCCTTGTAGTATTTAAGACTGTTACACTACACAACTTCATTCCCCCCTTCCCCCATCATTTAGTACTTCATTAAAATAAGAGGAACAAGTTTAATTGAACCATTCAGTGGTCTCAGTTGGAATGATTTGCTTTTTAACGATTAGACGAGTAAGTACTACTGACTTTGATGAGAAAATTCAGCTAAAGATGTTTCGTTATCTTCATTTGCAAGTTGGTTAAATCAATAATTGCTGGCTTTGATGGCTGGTGAAAATGTGTAGAGGCTTTAATTTGGAAAAACGTACCAAGTCTGGTCCTGACTCTTGTCTTGCTGCTTACAGAAAAATCCAGAAGAGGACAGCTCAGGGAGGATTCTGAACTGGGAACCTGGTCACTTGCTCCTGACCCTCTGTGCTGTCCGCAGCATTGAGCAGCTTCTCCCCTTCTTCCATGTCCTGAGCCAAGTCTTCAACAGCAAAGTCACCAGCAGGAGCATTGGCCATTCAGGGAGCCCCATGCTTTACCCAAACTCTTTTCCCAACAAAGACATCAAAATGGAGAACCAAAAGACACTCTCTAGCAAAGTGAGGCAAAAAATTGAAGAAATGGTTGAGAAGGACTTTTTGGAAGGGGTCATCAAGACATGAAATGTAAATGGCAGAATCTTTTATCTTATGTAATGTTCATTTCAAACGAAACCACTCCATCCTTCCAGAGTATGTAATTTCCTTTTTCATACTTTGTATGTAATGTAAACTTCAAGGATGTATTTAATTTAAATACTTGTAAATAAGTTCTGGATGTGGCCTGAATCAAGTTGAAATATCACTGGCACATATTGATTATGGTGCCTAATATTTATGGTACATTTTGTTTTTGTCATCTTGAGGTCTGTCTTTAAGAAATCTTACAATAAAGTTGCACATTTTTCTAGTTGTATGTCTTTCTATGCACCTAGACCGCTGCACAGGATTTACTTTCTAAAAATGGAATGAATAAGTAGTTTGAAAATAGTAGTTTGAATATTTTCATGAAGGCATTAATCATCAAGATTTTCTTTTTACTAAATTATCTTCACCAACAATGCTGGGTTCCTGGTTCACAAGCAAATAAGTGTGACATGGCAAACATCTTCAAACATGCACCCAAAATATTTGAGTGCTTCTACAGAATGTTGTTTCTCTGGGAGATCTTGGAATGCTACACATCTTCATAACTTACAGCAAACAAGTTTCTTTGCTGTAGCTTTCTTTCTGGTGGTTGTATATGGTGGGAATTGAAGTCTGCTCTTAAAATGGTACAACATTTACTCCAGCAGCCGCTTTTCCAGCTGGCTTAAACTGAAAGTCCCGTCAATCTCAGCCAGTCAGTCCACATTTTGCCTAGGGATTATAGGAACCTACAATCCAACTCTAGGATTGCCCTGATTGAAATTTTCTGAAAAGCATTTTGAAGTTGAAATTTCCAAGGACAGGAAGCAGAAAACTCCTAGTGTTTTTTTTTTTTTTACAATAATAAATGTTGAGTATGTCTCAGCTAATAAAGATTTTATATGACAGAATTTCATGATTCAGATCCAAGTGTGATGCTTCATCAAACAGCCTTGGGTGGGTCCCCGAATCCGCCAGCTAAATGGTAGACAGCCAAGCAGACTTCATGGGCGAGTTTATCTGCATTCTCCTAAAGAGAAAAATATGAGACTAAAGTAAATATAAAATAATCTTAGCTAAGGGAACTTTTAGATGTACCAGACCTGTAATTCAGATTTTTTTTTCTGAAAGAATCTGTTTTGCTCGCTAGTTCAGAAACCACGTATGGCACAGTCTCTCACTGCTCATCACTATTAAGGACTTGGAGTCAATTTTAATTTTGTGCTGTAGTGAAACAATTCTAAATAACTCATAATCCTGGGATACATTCCACTATGAAGAGCAGATTTTAAAGAAGGATCTTTTAACCAAAAATGAAGCTTTGAAGAGAGGTGTTAAACATCTTGTTCCCCCATCTGTTTTTATTCCATGTTTGTATTTTTTTTTTTTACAAAACGTACTTAAATAGGAAGATAACCTTCATAAAAGTAAATGGAGAGTATAAATAAGGACAAGTTTCTTTTTAGAAATGTCCGTATTGTGCTCCATTACAGTTTTCTGAAATTGTTCAACTTGGCAGATTATTATCAAATTTCTCTCCAGGTTCCCAATTTTTCCATCAAAAAAGCTGCTAAAAACAGCAGATCTTCATAGCCCGAAAATATTTCAGAAAACCAAGGAAAGGAAAATAAGATTTTGAGCAAGCAACAAAACCGTCTTCATTTCTCTTTTCCCCAATAAACTTGAGAAGAAATGGAAAGGAGGATGGTAAAACTTCAAGAGGACTATGTATTGTTGCTTGCATACCTATGGATTATATCAATCCATCTAGTTGGAAACTTTCTGACAGAAAAGGACTTCCTTGCATGCTCTAGAAATACTTCCCAATTTACTGCACCAAGACACTAAATCAGGGGCGTCAAACCTTGAAAACTTTAAGACTTGTGGACTTCCAACTCCCAGAATTCTGGGAGCTGAAGTCCACAAGTGTTTAAGCTGCCAAGGTTGGACATCCATGCTCTAAATGAATCACATCCATTCTGACCTGGGAGTCAGCTTCGGCATAGACTCTAACTATGTCTTCTGTTCCAGATGGACGAACAAATGCCCGAGCCAATTTAAACTTCTGAATCAGATGGTCGATTTTTTCTTGCAGCCCTGGAGGTGCAATTGCTCGTCTTTCAGCATCTGTCGTGCTGATGACCCGTCTATCAGCAACCTGCAAGTCAAAGTAAAACCAAGCAACATCATCTGACCTGCTAAAATTGCAACTGGTTGTATCAATTCTCCACCGAGGAGAAACCAGGAAAGAATTAAAATGAGCCGTGGTGGCACAGTGGTTAGAATGCAGTACGGCAGGCTACTTCTGCTGACTGCAATTTGGCAGTCTGAACCAGGCTCAAGGTTGACTCAGCCTTCCATCCTTCTGAAGTGGGTAAAATGAGGACCCAGCTTGTTGGGGGCAATAGGCTGATTCTTCAGCTGATTCTAAACTGCTTAGAGAGGGCTGTAAAAGCATTGTGAAAGGTATATAAGTGCTACTGCTATTCAACTCTGAGGAGTGCTACGACCTTTTAATCAGAGGTTCTATATTGCTCACATAGCAGCTGGCTATGCTTCTATATCTCCTTCCCGATGGTAGGAGGACCAGGGTGAGAGTCGTCCCTGACAATTTTCCTCACTCTTCTAAGGCAGCGAGCCCTAGCGATCTCATCTAGTGGTATCAGGGGACAGCCCACAATGTTTTGTGCTGTGCTCACCACCCTCTGTTTTTCTATCTGCGGCTGTCAAGTCGGCATGCCATACCGTGATGCAATAAGTGAGGACGCTTTCTATTGTGGACCGGTAAAAGGAGGTCATCAGTTGTTGTTCCACCCTGTTTTTACGCAAAACCCTAAGGAAATCTAAGGAACCCTAAGGAGTCTTTGTTGGGCCTTCCTGGCCACTTGGATCGTGTTGTTTTTCCAGGTGAGGTCTTCGCTGAGATGGATTCCCAGGAATTTAAAGGAGGAGACTCTCTCTACACAGCCCCCCTTGATGTAAAGTGGGGCAGGTTCCTCTCTCTTCCTCCGGAAGTCCAACACCATCTCCTTGGTCTTGCTGATGTTCAGATGCAGGTTGTTTTTTAAGCACCACGTGGGCAGTTTTTGAACCTCCCCCCTGTACGCTGTTTCATCTCCACCTATAATAAGACCCAGTATGGGTCTTATTACAGGTGGAGTGCTTCCAGGTGATAATCCCACAGTAGATTCTGTCATTTCTTTTTGTCCATCACACCGTCTACTAGACTGCTGAGATGAGTAAGCTATTCAGAGGACTTATTAGTTCAACTTCTCACCTCTTACAGGAAATGTACCATGGCCTTTATTTCCCTTCCTCCCTGAAGCCACAAATGACATTAGTGGTTTCTTTTTTCCTCTGCTCTTTCCATCTCTGGATCACTTCTACCCAGAATTTTTTTTCCCAATTTTTTTTTTTTTTTGAACAGATGGTTACAACCCGTTTAATTCTGATTTCCAACTAACCTTCACTTTGAGCTGTCGGTTTGGGAGATCTGTGTACAGAGCATCCCACTGTGCAATTGTGAGGTTCTTCAACACCAAGATCGCTTCGATCACAAGCATGTCGGAGAAACTGTCACCAACCGTCTAGTGCATAAGAAAAGAAAAAAAGGAAGAAAAACAGATGGGAAAAAAATCAATCTCTTCCACACTTGGATAACTGAAAATCTCTCATACAGGTACTTTGTAAAACATTACTGATTCTAACTCTGGTCCTACTGTCAGATCTCACTGTTTTCCTAGTAGTAATTACAGGATCTTGCTTTGCAGATGAATTAAACTGGTATTAAAACTGGCTCAGATTATGAAAAGAATAATGCATGTAAGGAGCTTTTGCCTCTACATAATCTATTCCTTAGGTCAAAATAGCAATAGCACATAAACTGCTTAGGGAGGGCTGTAAAGCACTGTGAAGTGGTATAAAAGTCTTTATATTACCGCTTCATAGTGCTTTACAGCCCTCTCTAAGCAGTTTACAGAGTCAGTCTATTGCCCCCAACAATTTGGGTCCTCATTTTATCCACCTCAGAAGGATGGAAGGCCGAGTCAACCTTGAGCCTGGTGAGATTTGAACTGCCAAATTACAGGCAGCTGACAGTCAGCAGAAATAGCCTGCATGACTGCACTCTAACCACTGGGCCACCAAGACTCAATGATACTATAGATTAGAGTTGTTCTTTCTCCAATTTGTTTTGTTTAACTGATTATGCATGTCTGCTTATTGTTCACAAAAAGTTTTTGTTTGAAGGAACCTAATCTACAGCAAATGCTTCTGAGACTAAAATCCATACAAAAGTCTTTTAGATGCTGGCTTTTCCTGATCCCCAAAGTGTAACCATGCTCCCGTATTGTTTCTCCCACTTCTGCTTCAAAGATCTGCTGAATCTGAAACCAACTTTTGAAAATATAGTCACCCTTTTAATCAATGGAACAGAATAAGGTTTAAGTCAGTTAACTGATTCAAACCACACCAGTATGGAAAAATGGCTACGAAGCTGTTACAGATAATTTCCAATACTTACTTAGGGGAAAAAGAACCCTAATACCTATGGGACCTTACCCTGTTTTAAAAATAGATCCTACCATTCTCTCCAAAATGGCTTCTTCGAGCCATTTCCCTTACCTTTACAAAGTTCTGCAGTGCAGTAAAAGCCTTGCAGATTCTCCCAATAATAATCTTCAACTGAATAGGGAACACTAAGAATTTTAAAAATTAAGTCTGCACTTATATAAGGCATCCCAGCTAAGGATGGACATATAGGGGTATAAGAACAAGGACAGGTTTTGTCTAAATGGTGATTCCCTATTTGCCAACTGGAGATGGTACACTTTTGAGAATTTTAACTGATTTTTTTTAAAAAAGTAGTATATACTCCGTAACTCAGATGGAGCCTAGATTGTTAATTTACTTCAAAATACATCCACGGGGATCTTTTCAAGACTAAGGACTTGGAACAGCTTTGAAGTGGTAGTAGTGTCAAGCTAGCTTTGCTGATTGAGAAAGCTAATCAGGATCTTTCCTTGGTGCGTATCTGAGAAGACAAGAAGTATAGACTAATTTGGGAAACAAACTTACATCTGGGAAGAGGACAATAGGAAATCTCTATTTTTACCAAGGAAACTCTATGAATAGATACTGGTGTGCAATTAGGAGCCAAATTTGACTTCAAGACAACTATAGACAAGCTTCTGTAGTTAGTAATGGCCCAACATTCCTACCTGATTTATCAGATCAATTGTGTTTTCAAGCATCTTTGCAGCTTCTCTTTTTTGGATATCTTTTTCTTCTTTTGCCTGGAATCTTATCTTATCCTCTGCAGCCTTACTAAACAATACCTTGAAAGAAAAACACAAAGGACTATCAACAGAGGAAAAAAGGGAAGAGAAACACAATCAACATTCTCTCACACGCCTTGGGCTCAAAAAGAAATGCTTCATTGGTTTAAATTTAAACTCTGATGAATGGCTCTAGAGCAGGGGTGGGCAAATGTGGCCCTTTTACAACCTGTGGACTTCAACTCCCAGAATTCCTGAGACAGCCAAGTTGTAAAAGGGCCACAGTTGCCCACCCCTGCCTTAAAGGGAAAGTCTTCTTCGAGAAGAGGAGGGAGAGGAGGGGGATCCGGGTGGGTCTTCGTGACCGCGGTGCAAAAGCCGACTTGCATTTTCTGTTATTACCCCCCCCCCAAACTTGGACTTTCCCAGCGAATCCTAAAAGCTGAGCTTTTATAATAAACCTGCCTGTTTTATTGTTTTCATGCCAGCGGGAAGAAATGCTTTGGCTAGCCCAATTCTTTGATCCGCCTTGGCTGTCTCAGGAATTCTGGGAGTTGAAGTCCACAGGTTGTAAAAGGGCCACATTTGCCCACCCCTGCTCTAGACTCCTTTGGGTCAACAAATGGCATACTTACTGTGCCATGACCGTTTGCTTCAAAATAAATTCCAATATCAAATTCCTGGGCCTTGTGATGCAAATGTTTCACTCCTGTTTTGGCACAGTGAACAGGCACCTAAGAAAGACAGACACGATGTGATGGGTGTATAATCTGCATTACGAGCAACATAATCTTTGAAAAGTTGGAACACGGAAAGACAGCATTCCCTCAAGGCTCAGAAGAGAAACGCCTGACAGATGATAAGAAGCGCATTACACCAGTGAAACTGATCACCAACAAGGGAGCCTTGGGTGGATTCACACATTCCAAAACTATTGAAACAATAAAAAAAACCATTTAAGAACAATAAAAATCTCCAAAAGAAATATACACAGCAGCCAAGATAGTTAACCGGTTAACAATAAAACCAAGAAGTCAATCCTTTAACACATTCAGGGTCCCAGGATCAGGAACACAGCCAAGTTTTTAAAGCTTTAGGAAAGGCTAACAGGATTAGGACTGAATGAAGGCAATATACGTGTCCCAGGATTCAATAAGGGTCAGTCACCGGGACCAGAGCAGGGGTGAAATGCTACCAGTTCGGGTGAACCGGTAGTAAAAAAATGCTTTAAAAAGTAAAAAAAAAAAAAAGGTTCAGACGATCACCGCTGTGCCGCACGATCGTCAGAACTTTTTTTTTATTTTTTAAAGCATTTTTTTACTACCTATTCACCCAAACTGGTAGTAAAAAAATGCTTTAAAAAAGTTTTTAAAAGGTTCCGAAGATCACGTGGCATAGCTGATTGACAATTGACAATCAGCTGTGCCGTGTGATCATTGGAACCTTTTTTTCTACTTTTTTAAAGCATTATTTTACTACCAGTTCAGGCTAATAGGTAGTAAAAAATGCTTTAAAAAGTAAAAAAAAAAAGTTGACCACGCCCACCCAGTCACATGACCCTCCCCCACCAAGCCACGCCCACCATGCCACAGAACCGGTAGCAAAAAAATTTTCATTTCATCACTGGACCAGAGGTTTAGTCTTCCAAGCTTTCAGACTTGTGCTGGAGCCCATCCTCAGGGAACTTCTCTCTAGCAGACTGTGTTAGAGAGAGGTTCCCTGACAGGGTCTCTCTCTCTCTCTCACTGGTAAAGGAGAAATTCCCTAAGGATGGGCTCCAGCACATGAGTCTGAAAGTTCTGAAGACTAAACCTCTGGTCCCAGTGCCCAACCCAGATTGAATTCTGCAGGATTAGGACCATTCCAAGGGGAGGATTTTCCACAGAGCAGGGGCTACTGCAGAAAAGGCCCGCCGACACTTTTTGGCTGAGGGGATCAGTCTGCCAGATTCAATTGGGGTAGATAAAGATCTAGCAGAAATGTGCAATAGGGAAAGCATAATGCCAGCGTTGATTAGGTTTGCAGGTGGATAGCACTCTGTACAAATCCAAACCATTTGGCTAGTTAACGGTTAGTGGCATAACCAGGTTAGGTGTTTTTTATGAATGCAGCCACAGAACTTTAGAAAGATAGCCAGCAAAAAGAGGGGGGGTTTCTATTATCCTACTTAAATAATCAAATAAAACCAAATAGAACTGATTTTCTAGTAAGTAATTGTGCCCAAGCAATGGCATTCTCATTGTGCTGCCTTCTCATCAAGGAACAAGCCATGTTTTTGTTCCAAACTCTCGGGTAGTCAAGAGCGCGTGAGTAAAAAGCAACTTTTGGGATTTTTTTTCCTAAAACTTTTCCTAAAACTCCAAATTATCAGAAAGCAGCACACATAAGGATCGGTTTAAAATATATTACATACATTATTTTTATTTTTATTTTTTTATTTTTACAAAAGTGATACTCATGAAATTCAGTGCTTGGAATACACAGGGAAAAATCAACAACATCGTTTTATTTCTCTTAAAAAGAAAAAAAAAGCACCCCAGCTTTCTCCAAACTGCTGTCTTCCAGATGTGTAGCAAAGCATCTTGCCAACTAAGCAGGCTACTAAGAGTAAAGCTGCAAGTCCAGCACATCTGGAAGGTAGCTTGTTGGAGAAAGCTCTTCTAGGTTCTCTCTAGGTAAGCATTACACAAAAATTGGTTGCAATTAATAACCTCCCCTCTCTCACCCTATCCCATGTTGATGTTTCAGCCATGGTCATTTTGTTTGCTTGCTTAAGACTGGAAGAAATCAAATTCATACCTTCATGGTTTGTTCCAGATAACCAGTAGAGCTCCCATTGGCATACGCTGTTTGTATTACTGCAAAAGATAAGGTTTGTCCGGCCTGAAGAAGCAGAAAGAGGAACATTCCACAAACAAGACTCAACTTCACAAAAACTGCATGGATCTTTTCCTTTGAAGTTTAAGAACTTAAGTTTACAAAGAGATGGAAATATTTTCTCTCCTGATCTTGAAGATCAAAAGCACTGCCCCTCTCTTTTTTGGGTGGAAAAACATGTTAATCATTAACCAAACCTACTTTTAACATCAAGATTATGCAAAGAACTATTCCATCATTTATTAATAGTACAAGCTAGGTTTCAGGGCATACATTAGATTCCTTTTTACAATTAACATTGTTTTTAGATTTTATCGTAAAACTATGATTTAATAAGGCCATCTGGAGAGGAAGTGTGTCATGAAAGCCAACCACTTGTGATTATATAATTTAATACCATTAATACTAGTGGTATTGATTGAGTGGTGCAGTGGCCTAGAGGTGGAGGTCTCGCCCCACAATCAGGATGCTGTGAGTTTGATCGTAGGTAGAGGCAAATATTTTTTCTCTCTGGGCATGATGAGAATATATCTGCTGAATATAACTCCAGATTGGTGACAGGAAGGGCATCCGGCCAGTAATCATTCAGCTCATTCAGTTGCCCAGACTCCACCCCGCAAGTGATTATGAGGTCATTAAAAGATGATGATGATGATGATGATATGATGATGATGATGATGATGAATACTAGCGGTATCAATTATGTCAAGTGCATGTACTACTTCAGAAAATGATTGACTATTATTTGTGAAGTGAAGCCCCAGCTAAAGTTTAGTCTGCTCCATCCAATTTCCCCTGAATGAGGGTCTGTAAAATTAAAGTTTTACTGCAAGTTGCCTGTGAAATAAACTAGTCTGAATTTATATGTATAAGGTAGATTGTTTGGTTTTGGTTTAATGCAATTTATAAATCTGTTTTTAATCAGCTGAAGAAATGGCCTACCTGATCCCATCAATAATTCTGCTATGCTTAATGCTATGCTATGCTATGCTATGCTATGCTATGCTATGCTATGCTATGCTATGCTATGCTACTATACAGCTACGTTTAGGAAAAAGAAATAAGAATCTTTTACAATGGCATTTCATTTGCACACTCTTTCCACATAGAAGATATCTCAAATATACAAGTGTTTGTGTTCACTGTGCACCAGGAAAGCTCTATTTGTGCATCATAGTAGAATAGAGTAATGCTATAACCAAAGGAAATCAATTACCTTTATCAGAAGTTCTTTAAGAAAAGTGCTGATTAGAGTTGCTATTTTATCTCCATCCAGAAGATGGAAATGGCCAGCAGTGTCTACATAGTAGTAAACGATTCGGTCAGCATCACCATCCAACGAGCAGCACCTCTCACCAGGATTCATTTGTAGTCCTAACAAGCAAGACAGCAATGCAGAAGTGTTAGCAAGAATTTGGAGGGTAAAGGCTATGGCAGGGGTCTCCAAACCCTGGTCCATGGACTGGCATCGAGCCAAGGCATTTTAGAAACCAGGCCTTACAAACAAGTGAAGCCCTAACCAGGCAGCATGCAAAACCACAGCCTTTCCGATCCGTAGAAAAACCGCTGTCCAAGGAACCAGAACCTGGTACCCAAAACATTGAGGACTACTGTGTTATTGTTTTTACATACTTCCAAAATAAGATGCCAAATTAAATCAAGAATGGGCAATGTGTTTAGATGATATTCAGCATCCATCTGCCCTACCCAGTATGGTCAATGCAAACAGATGGAGTTACAACCAGGCAACCTTTAGAGAAATGTTTACTGGTCTCCTTTGAGTTGTATAGTTAGGCACAGATATCCTTCACACTGCAAAATAACAATTTTAAGTTTCCCCTTCTACCACAAATCTACCAAAGGCTCAGAATGTTAATAAAGGGGTAAAACTGATTTATTGAAGGAGTTTGCCTCCTTTGCATGCCCAGAAGGGAATTTCTTCAGCAGGATGCATGAATGGAGATGGCATTTTTAGGATTTTACTTCCACTTCAGTCTCTTGCCAAAGAAATTCAGCTCCCTTTGGCAGGCAGCTTTTTCAGCCACCCCCAGAAACAAGGAGTCCTCCTCTTCAGGAACAGTTTGCAACTTTTCCTGACAGTTTACCCACCAACTTTCTGGGGAAGCCAACAGAGAAGACTGCAAATAGTAATCACATGATCACCAGGCGTTTTGACGACCAGTCATACCTACCAACAGGTTGCCGACCAACCAAATCATGGTCATGTGACCAGGAGATAGTAGTGCAATGTTTTGCAATGGCTTTCCAGAGCCACTGTAATCCTGGACCTTTGTTAAACATTAAGTCAAGGACTACTGGGCTTATAATTAAATAGGTTCATTTTCATCTGGCATTTTCTGGTATCTTCTTGGCCAAAGAAATGAATTGAACTCGCATCTAGCAAGGAGGACAAGTTGACTTTTTCTGGGAAAGGCTTCTGACCAAAGCAAAAAGAATCTGCTAAGCCTGTAACTCTTTCCCCACCCAAATTCTGAAAACAATTGAGGCTTGATCAATTTTGCCTCTTTAGGCAAAATATATTGTAGAGAAAAATCACTTTGGGGGATAATGAGATTGGATTGTTTTCTGAGTTTCTTACAAACCTTCTTTCCTTCAAGTTATATTTTTAGACCTTTTTTTCCCATCAGAAATAAGTTACAATTTTTCTTTACAGTTTTGGTATTCATTCATTCATTCATTCATTCATACATTTGTTTGCCACTCGTCCCTCTTTGAGGTGACTTTAGTTCAACACTGTCAAACTATTTACTAGTCTGCACTACTATTAATCTTCTCATCGTTCCTATCACCCGTCTCCTCCCACTTATGACTGTATGACTGTAACCTTGTTGCTGGTATCCTTACGATTTATACTGATTGTTTCCTAATATGATTCGATTACTTATTTGTACCCTATGACTATCATTAAGTGCTGTATCTTATGATTCTTGACGAATGTATCTTTTCTTTTTTATGTACAGAGAGCGTATGCACCAAGCCAAATTCCTTGTGTGACCAATCACACTTGGCCAATAAAGAATTCTATTCTATTCTATTCTATTCTATTCTATTCTATTCTATTCTATTCTATTCTATTCTATTCTATTCTATTCTATTCTATTCTATTCTATTCTATTCTGGGGATAGATTTATTTAAACCATTTTAAAAAGGCCTAGTCTTCTAGTGGCTTACCTACAGGAGGCTTCTGATGAACTTTGACAAAATCAGCCCCGCACATGTGGTTGAGCTTCCCTTCCCTCCCATCATTGGACAAGTGTATTGTAAGGCTTTCTGGAAGGTGGGGTTCCATTTCTCTGAGTTTTAGGGCTCCTATGCCATTCGCACAATCGATCTTCAGTCCTCCACGGCCATCCGTCTGGGAAGCAGCCTGCAGAAAAGAAACCAAAAGGAAGTTCAGGAAAGAAGCTGGACAGATCCCAGCAAGTTTTGAGGAAATGAGATTTCCAACTCCCAACTTTCACTTTACAGGGTCTGTCCTGCCACTACAACTTATTTTCATTGAACTATATTCATTGAATATAGGTCAGTACATCTATATATATAAAAGCCAAATACCACTCATTCATCATGAAATCTCCAGAACAGTAAAGCCTACAAACTTGAAATTTGGCACGTATGTTCTTCTTGGCTTCAAGGTGTTCGCTAAGAAATAATTTTTCGAAATGACCATCAGAGCATTAATATTTCAGATACAGTATTATATTAACACACTCTGATGCTAAGGAGTTAGACATTAGGCAGTTGGGAACTCTGTCCCAACTGCCAGTTGCCTTATATTAACACGCTCTGATGCTAAGGAGCTAGACATTCTATTCCCCCTCTGCACCTGAAAAGAACTCTGTTCCAACTTCTAGCTGCCTTATATTAACACACTCTGATGCTACCCCTTTGCTAAACCATGCGTGGGCGTGGCCAGTGCATGACTCATCCAACCTGCGGGCTGGGACATTCTACTCCCCCTCTCCCTCTGTTCCAATTGCCACTTGCCTTATATTAACACGCTCTGATGCTACGGAGTTACACATTCTACATTAAGTTTCAGGCTTTAAGTGTCAATTTATCACGCCCAATCACATAGTTTCGTAGCGAAGCATAGGTGTCCAGCTTGTATTTTATAAAAATAACAAGTACAAGCTAAGAATGTCATAAATGAATTTCAGAAGTATAACCTTGGGCACTATAAATAAAAGATGTAAGACGATTCATTTTGGCTCATAGGATTATACATCTGCTTCAGGAAAAATATTTTATACATATTCAAAAGCAAGTAGGGTGAAGAACAGCAAACTTTCCTAAGAAGGTTCTTATTCAATAGGATAAAAGTCCATTTTGATCCATTAGCTCATGCTTTGAGAGTGTTGTTACCCTAACTGGGATTATTGCTAGTTTTAAAAGAACTCTCTTCTAGGGAGAACATTTTTCATGAATTTTTAATAAATGCACTTAAGAATCCAAGCCAGATCTTCTCTTTAGGGAAGATGGTTCTTTTTACCTGTGTTGTAAGCTCCAGAAAAGCCTTGGACAGCTTTTGATAATAGCCTTCCACTGTTGGCGTTCCATAGGTACCATGAGTGTTGTGACAACGGACCATATAGTGTAACTGTGGGGTTGTTACTAAGCCATAGTCTAGTAAGAGAGAGAGAAGAGTCAAGCATTCATTTACCCATAGCAATAGCACTTAGACTTATATACTGTCCCCCAATGCTTTACAGCCCTCTCTGGCCAGTTTACAATGTCCGCATATTGCCCACAACAATCTGGGCCCCCATTTTGGATGACCTTGGAAGGATGGAAGGCTAAATCAATCTTGAGCGGGTCAGGATTGAACTCCTACTGTGTGGGCAGAGTCAGCCTGCAATACTGCATTCTAACCACTACGCCACTAGGTCCCCTCATTTACCTATGCACAACTAAAGCCCTTTACCAGAAAAGGGAAGTGCAATAATCCAGATTTTGTGGAACTACAATTCCCAATAGCCCATTCAAAAATCAATTCTATGGAATGCTGGGAGTTGTAGTTAACACATTTGCAGGGCTAGAAGTTCCATTCCTGGCTTGCATTGAGCCAGGCTGCTGACTAAGTGAGACTTATATTACAAGTCCAAATAGTCCTCCAGGATTTCAATTAAAGTCTTTTCCAGCTCTATCTGGAGATTTCAAAGATGGAGTCAGAGACCTCCTGCAATACGAAGCATAATTCTGCCCCCAAGTTCCAGACTTCCAAAATAGTTTCCTTAAACCTACATGAACCAAATAGGATAAGTAACCAAATGGTGATCAAAGAGCAAACATACCCTGATATTGACCTCCAAGGACAGATACACCATCAATTACTGATTGTGAAAGCTTCTTGCTGCTTGGCCTGCATGCAGAACATAGAAACAAACAAACACTTTGTTAAAAGTACTACATCAAAATACAAGCTAATACACAAATGCTAGTCAAATAAAAGATTTCGTTCTGTAAAGGGAAGGAATGACAGCAGGTGAGCAACTCAAGAGAGTTCTAGGCAGGTTTTTTTATTAGGAGCCACCAAAAAAGCCTTGGCATTTCCCACGGTGTTCCCAACGATTCATATGGCATCTATTTATTACCTCATGTATTTTATACATCTGCTTCCCATCTTTCTTCTTTACAGAATTTCAGGTGACTTATGTGAGCTAGTAAAGAGTGACTGCCTTCACCCCAGTAGGTGACTGCCAACAGAGCTACAGTCTCAGGTGCCATTGCTCAGAGGATTAAAGCCAATTCTGAGCTGGATAAAAGGAAAATGCAACTGATGCTGAGGAAGGGAGGAACTGGCTCATGTCTCATAGGGGTGGAGGCACGGTAGCTGTGCAAGATAGACCATCTCCCATGAGGAATGACCATATCGTGCCTCATGGGGGAGGAGATAGGAGGAGGCTGTGCAAGGTAGACCATGTCCCATGAGTGATCCCACTCTTCAGATCTTCAGAAGTCTTCCCAGGATTTCATCAGCAAGCTTCCTTGAGGTAGGCCGCAAATCAATAAGACTTCAGCTTTCTAAATCCTCCCCAACCCACCTCAGCTTTTCCAACCTGTTAAAACCAAAGAACTTCAACAGACAGAATTTTCTAAGCCGGGGTCGGCAAGCTTAAATACTCAAAGAGCCACAAAAGTCCTAACCGGAAGCCCCCGTTCAATTCTGGAGCTAACTGAAGGTCCAGTTCCCCCATCATAGTTTCCTCCTAGTGCAGTAGTGCAGCGTCCTTTTTCCTCTGCTGACCGGAAATCCGGTTCCCCCACCATAGAATCTCCTCCTAGTGCGGCATTCTTTTTCCTCTACCTGTCCTAACCGAAAGCCCTATTAATTGTGAAGCTGACCAGCAACAGGGAGTCACAGCAGAGGCATGAAAGAGCCACATGTGGCTCCAGAGTCGCAGATTGCTGACCCCTGGTCTAGGCCAGGGGTGTCAAACTGGTGGCCTGCGGGCCAAATGCATCACGCACAGGCCATGTCCAACCCAGCTCCGCGAATGGAAAAAACATCACAAAACGTCACGTGATGGCAACGTGACACGGCAAGTTTGACACCTGGGACCATCTTAGGTACCAGGTATTGTATTACCTCAATTTCTTTTCCCCAAGTTCCCCTCCAGTTCTTGTTTTTAAGATTCCCCTTTAATGCCGGTCCAACACCTATAGCCCCCTCCTCCCTCTTCTGCCCAGATTCTCTCTATAATCAAAACCAGCACAAAATAGACTCATAAACAGCCATCAGGAAACCACGGATGAATGCAGGCTATTATAGGACTACACCACACTATTCTCACTGTGGTGTGGAAGTAAAGTTATAATAATAATAGCCTTTATTGTCATTGTACCAGTGGTGGGTTGCCCCCGGTTCAGACCGTTTCTATAGAACTGGTAGTAAAACCGGCGGGAGGCTCCACCCACCAACCCCGACGTCATCAGGAAGCTTCAGGGCGCGCATGCATGGTCCCATTGCAAACCAGTAGTAAAGATAAGTAGAACCCACCCCTGCATTGTTCATCATGTACACAACGAAATTGGTTGCACCTCTACTGGTGCGATCCATAAAAGAAAATACAAGACAATACAATTCCCAATTTATACAAGTAATTGTTGTAGGAGTTGAAGTTGAAGGAGATGAATGTATTTAGTCTGCCTGGAAAGGCACCATAGTAACCATGGCCATCCACCACTTTCTGCCGCCCCCAAGATCACAAGTGCCAAAATTTCCAGGTGAATCTTTCTTGTGAATTCATTTGATCCCAATGAACAGTCTGATGAACATATATATATTGCCCTTTGACCTGCAAGACATGTATCGACTTTCTGGCTTACCGGGTGTCTCTACCAATCACAACAAATGCTTTGCTCTGAAGGTCCACCGTCTCCTTCTGACAGATCTCAGTCAGGGCACAATGTAACTGGGGCTCTTCTGCATTCGCCAAGAATGTAGCATGTTCTCCCAGGTAGGGGCCAACATCTCTCCAGAAGGATCAATCAGCTTAACGCCATTGTCTTCCTGGAGGAAGGCAGAAAATGTTCACTATTAAAATTGATGACATGCTTAGAAAAAGGGTTTAGTTTCTCTGAAACAAAGAAATATATTAAAAGTGTCTAAAGTTTCAAATTCAAAGGAATTCTAAACATTTGCTTCAAGCTTAGAACACAATGGACTGCTTTGACTTTAAAATGGTTCATGTCTAATAGGCTTTGCACACCTTTATCGTGTTGTAAATTGCCCAAGGAAAACTGTTTTGAACTGTAACACTTTTATAATAAATAAATAAAAATAAAATCAATTAAATCAATCATGCCAAAACTTGTAAGTAATTTTTCAAAAAGAATGTCAAAAAAGGTAAAATGATTTAATGTTTCTGAAAAATCAGAAGTGGCACACCTATTCATGTTTATATTGCAAAAAGCACCATTGAACTTAGTGAGACTTATTTCAAAGTAAACATGCATATGTTTGTGTTGTAAATAATTGAACAAAGACGACGGAGCACATTGTGAAAAAGTTCCAGGAAGTGCAAGTTATACCTAATTAATGAATCAATCAGATTTAACATGTAGTTTACAGGTAACTCTACAAATAGTTCTCCACTTACAACCAAAATTGGGACTGGAATTTCAGTCGTAAGTCATTGTGATCATAAGCCGAGGCCCCCAAATGACTGGACCCAATTTTTTGACTGTTTTTACAGTGGCCATTAAGAAACAGTTGTAAATCAAAACCACACATTTGTTAAGGGAACCCCATAGTCATTAAGTGAATCCCTTCTCCCAAAGTTGTGGTTTTTGCCAGAAATCTGCAAAAAAAAAAAGTCACAAATTGCAGTCACGTGATGATACACAGGATGATACACCCAGTTGTAAATTTGAGTCAACTCTCAAACACCCAAACTGCACCGACAGAATATTTGTAACTCAGGGCTGAATTGTATTCAATACCTAAAATGCAGTCATGTGACCAAGAGGGCATAACATTTTATAACAGTGCTTTATGGGCCACAATCCCATTTTCTGAAGCCATTGTAACTTCAAATGGCCATTAAATGGTCTACCATAAATCAAGGATTACCTGTATTCTAAAATGATGCTAATTTAAAAAAAAACATTTTCCAGTTTAAACTAATCGTCTTAACTAATCAGAGAGATAACAGTTAATAGACATTGTTTTCAAGGCCCAAATAATTTTAGAACCAGAGCTCTCTCCTCTGCAATGCTGTTTCTTACTTCAGGGTTATGAGAGGCTGTAACCATCACACCAATAGTGGATTTGGTCTTCTTGGACCTCAGGACAGCTAGCAGTCCCATACGAAACATGACATGGTTGAGGTTTTCTGCCTTGCAACGGAATCCAGCCGTTCCATATTGGAGGAAAAGTCCCAGAGGTTTAGCATGCAGTTTCGAGTATTTTGTAACTGCTTCGGAATCCATTTCTGCAGGGTACACAAGAAACGACACTAATTTATTGCCAGAAATTAGAGCTGCACATCCTGTAAAACAAAATCGTGCCATATAAATTATTAGGAAAGAAAACTGAATTTCGTTCACAGTAGAATCTATTCCTTACGCTTTATAAAAAGCAGGTTAAAAATGGTTGGGTTTGTTTTTTTTACCAGAATCATTATTCACCAAGGGTAGTTATAATACAAGACTTTTAAAAGCGCAGAACAAAGTGTTGCAACTTCATTATCCGGTTCTCTTCACAAGGACTTTGTTCCTTATCCTCTGGCAATCAATCCCAGGTCGCCTCCCTGCTTGGGCACCAAAAGGGAGAAGACGGAAACTGATCTTGGGGGATTAGTTACTTTCCTTTTCCATATCAATCTTTTTCTGGATACCCAGGAAACTGCAAACTAGAGATTCAATTACAGGAACCCACACCGATTTCAATCCCAACACTCTCCCACAATCCAAGCTATACTTAAGCGAGGTGTTGGCAGAGATTTTTTGTTTTTCTTTTAGACTTAGAATAACTTTGTCACTTTGAATGTACACTGATCGGCATATATTAAAATGAAATTTCACTAGATCAATATTGGAAAACGGATCAATTGCCAACAGATCAACTAATAATCCAAAAAATTTACAATTGTGCGGAAATGGATAAATTAACATTTGAGTGAAAAGATAAGGTAGACTCAAAATACTACATGGCGTGGAATAGATGGTACGATTGGATAATTCAAAAGAAAGGAGAGTAAATGTAAAATTTTGTAAGACAATAAAATTAACAAACAGGCACCTTCAACAAGATAAAGGATGTGATAAAGTGACAAAGTCACTTTCTACATTTTTTTTCTTTTTCTTTTTTGTTTTGTTTTGCTTTCTTTTTCTATTTTTTGTTGTGAGTAAGTAATGTTGTTCGGATTAATATAAATGTATTCTGTATATACCCGATGTGGTATTTGATCTTTTTATGTTTAATAAAGTTTGTTTTTAATTTTAAAAAAATAACTAAAATGAAATTTTGTTGCATACAACTCTCAAAGGATCACCACCTCTAAAATACACTACATAAACATAACTAAATACATACATACACATACATACATACAAAATTATGCATGTACCCAGATATATTATATGACACGGAAATTAATAGTCATTAATAGTCAATTTTTATTGGCCAAGTGTGATTTAGACAGACAAGGAATTTGTCTTGGTGCATATAAAAACAAGGTTCTAACGCGCATGAAGCGTCTGCGGGCAGAAAGCCTCCCCTATCTTTTGGAACGACCCACGATCAAAGCCACCCAAGCAACCAGATTACCTGCAGAGCTCCTTGCAAAGAGAACGGCGCCCACCTCTGAAGGGCCCTTCCGGGATCGGCTCAGAACACGTTTCCTTTTCGCCTTTCCCGGATGCACCAATCAGCGGGCCGAGCGTGCGGGGGGGACAGAACGAGGCGTGTTGCAACATTCGATCAACGCCCAGGCGCCATTCCAGAGCCCAGCCACTCCTCCGCCTGCCGCGGCCGGGGCTGGAGTGCGTGGCGCTTCCCGGCTCACGTCCTTCGCCTGCGGCGATGTGAGCTGGCCGGTCGGTTACGTGGTCCTGTGAAATCAAGCGCGTCGCTCGACTCCGGGGTGTTACGGCCAGCTCGGGCAGGAATCTCAGGCGGCAAAGTGGGTTAGTGGCGAGCCAGGGCTCTGCTTAGAATTCAAAACTGCTTAACGACCACCTCTTCTTTAGCCTGGCCTTCCCCGATGGGCCTCCTTCCCCTTTTACAGGGAGTCCTCGACTTACAACGGCTGGTTTAGTGACCGTTCGAAGTTAGATCGGCACTGGAAAAAAAGTGACTTATGACCACTTTTCACACTTACGGCCGCTGCAGCATTTACCATGAACGGGTGATCAAAATTCAGATCCTTGGCAAGTGACTCATATTTAAGACCGTCGCTGTGTCCCAGGGTAAGGTCGGCACCTTTTGCTACCTTCTGAAAAGCAAAGTCAATTGGGGAAAGCCAGATAAGTATTAACTTATCCGCTGCTGTGATTCGGTTAACAACTGAGGCAACAAAGGGTCGTAAAATGGGACAAAACTCACTGAACAACAATCTCACTTAACGAGAAATTTGGGGCTCACTTGTGGTTGTAAATCGAGGACTACCTGTATTGGATTAGATCAAACCAAATAGAATATCAGCAACAACTTCCCGAAAGGAGAAATGAATTGATTATATGACCTGGAGGCATGTAACAGGCATATAATAATAGTCGGGCTACCAGATGACCCCAAGATGGTGGCAAAGAGATGTAGGAGCGTCTTATTCTTTTCCGCCTTGTGGAGGGAAGAGTTTTGCAGCTCAGATCTAGTAACCCTAGAAATGGGGGCTGCTTTATTACCATCTTTGGAGTTTTCCTAAACATTCGGATTTGGTGTTGCAATTATGCACGGAATAGTGCAAGAGCGGGAGAGTGTTGGAGTCCGGAGATCCTGCCCAAAGAGGACTTTGATTGGACTCTGCCTTCTAGGAGGACCAAGAGAGGAGCTCCATCACGGGGCTCATTTTGCAGAGCTCACAGACTGAACATATGCAGACAAGCGTGGTTTATCGGTTGCTCCGTTGTGGGCTAGTAGCCAGGATTAGGAGACTAAGGGAGCTGGGCTGCTTATGAACATCAGTGTAATTTTCTTCTCAGTTAACCTTCACGGTAAACCTGATACAGGATGACTTGAAGAGGCAATTGTTTTGATTAGGCCAACTTAGAGTCACAGAAGTTTTATACATTTTATAATTAAATATGACTTCCCTGGATTTTCAGCTCACTGTGAACAATTCTGTGTAAATCTATTTAGCAAAGATTTGTTAGTTTTGGGGATGAGGGGAGATTTTTACCATTTACAGCAGAAGCTAGGAGGAAACTAGATATGTTGAGCTTCTAAATGGACTGCATCCAACAGGGGCACCAAATTAAATGGATATATGAACTCTGCAATAATGAAAATGTAAGATCTCCGTTGCCCTAAACAGCCTCTGACTATGAAATCTGTGATTATAACAAAATGTACATTAGACGGCAAACCCATGACATGGTTTGTTTACAAGCCCTGATTTATTTTATTTCTCATCTGAACTCAGAACACTGACTTGTTCCTATTTGGGTTTGGCCAGCCTGCAAAGATCCAGTGCAAAAATTACTGAAAACACATTATTCTTCCAGTGTAGCCACTCTCTATTTTTTTTTTCTCTCCATGCTTCTCATTGCTCCTTGGTGGCAACCGATGGACATTTTGACGTCCAGCCAAACAACACAAACATATTATTTTTTAAAAGCAATATCCTCATCACAAGAAAAAATAATCATCAAATCACAAACATGGTGAAATGGGTGGCAAACAAATCTCACGAATGAATGAATGAATAAAACATACAAATACCAAGGTATGAATAATAAAAACAAAAAACATCATGTTGACTGCTGCTAACATATTTGAGATATCATTGGCAAAAGATCTTAAGATGAGGAATTGGCTAACAAAATCGTGGAAAAGGAAAACATTTGTTCAACCAAATACTAAAAATACATTTTAATTAATTAAATTTAAATTAAATTAATTAAATTAATTAATTAAATTAAATGTATTAATGGAGCCATTAATACATGTGAAACCTGGAACAGTATAAAAAAATAGTACCTAAGTATATACTTCAATGGTGATCGTAACCACCATTTGTTCAGTACCATCTTAACTTCAAATGGTCACTGGACTCATGGCCATTAATAGAGGACTACTGTATCAATCTGAGGGTTGGCATCCATTTCCTTTGCCTTTTGATTAGTACCTTCCAAGCAGCCGTTCTTTCTTTGCATCTCTTGAGCAACCAGGAGGACATCTATGCTTCCACAATTTTAAAGGCCTTTTTCTATTTCTTGTTTTATTTCTTGTGTTTCTCCATAATGTCTCTGCTGGGACTTGGTTCTACACTGTACAACCTCTTTTAACTCCTTACAACTAATGCCTAAATCTAAGGACAGATTACACATAAAGAAATGTTTGCGATAGTTGCAAATACCTGTTGCTCGGGTGTAGGATTAGGTGGAGGTTTGTTCTGAGCTTGTGGGTTGGTTTCTTAATGTTTCGTTACCTAGCCTGGTACCAAAACATTCAGAAATCAGTCCGCAAGCTCAGAGAATGAACCTCCACCCTAATAAAGGTTTCAGCTGGAAAAAAAATCAGGCCCTCCAAACTGTCTTTTTTTTTTTTTTTTTTTTTTTTTTGAGACGATGCTGGCAAGAACAAGGAAACTTTACCTGATTTGATATCTCTTTTTTCTAGGTGACCGATGTTGCATCTGTCATGATGTCTAGCAACATAAAAGACAGTCTTGAGCTTCAAGTGGCGGAACTGGAAATGCTTTTATCTATGTTTCCTAATAAAGGAGAGATAACTCTTCAAGATGAAAATGTTTTCCAGAATATTCAGAGGTACCTGAACAATACAACTGAAAATCTCCCGCCTAAAATTGAGTATTCAGTTGCTGTTCCTATAAATGAAACCAAGGTGAGGCCATCTGTTTTCATTGGTTGTTATTATTGAGGAATTCCAATTGTACTTCAGTTTAGTAAACATTTGTGAATCAATTTCAGTAAAATTACTAATTTTAACCAATAGGCCTTAATACATGCTTGGTTGCCTTAGTCATTTTTTTTTCAACTGTAGATTACATTATAGTACTGCATTTAAAGATTAAATAAATGACTATAATACACTATCCTGTCTGCAAGGACATTGAAGATATCCATGTAGATAGCCTAAAAGCTTTTTTAGTTAACAATGCAGCTTCACTGGGCATATTTTTACAGACTTCTTTTGGGTATTTTTTTTTAACTTATGTATCTGGGACCCCGAGATAGTCACCATCTACATGATTATTGAAGAAAATTGTTCCATTTCTGAAGTTTGTTTTTTTCTACTTTAAATCTTGATCTATGATGTAGAGCTGCTCCTCTAGAGCCATTTAGGCATCAAGTCCAGCCTATTCAATGCAGAAATCCCAGTTAAAGCATCCTGATTATCCAGTCTTTGCTTGAACATATCTAATTGTGCTTTGATTTCAGAACAGTTTTAACAATGCATTAAATAAAATAGTTGCTTGCTACAGGTTACAGTTTTTGTTTCACCTTCTCTTTTTAAGGTTAAACGTTTTTCTGTTACAGCCTGTAAGTATACGTTGTCCTCGGTTAACTACCATTTGTTCAGGGCCCATTCAAAGTTAACAATAGCACCAAATAAGGAGACTTAGGACTGCTGCTTGAAGTCTCAACTATCATACCTTTCCCACAGTCATATGATCCCAATTTGGGTGTTTGGCAACCAGCTTGCAGTTGTAAGTCACAGCATTGCAGTTACGTGACCTCGGTTTTGACTTTCACTGCTGTCTTCTAATAGTCAATGGAGACAAGGTCACAATTGGTGATCACGTGACATCACAATTTTCTTATGGGATTCGCTTAATGATCGCAACTGGAACTGCTGTCGTAAGTCAGCATGGTCAAGTGATGTTGCATTTTATGGCTGTGTTGCTTAGCAACAGAGTGCCTGGTTCCAGTGTCTTGTTAACCAAAGTCTACCTGTGTGTCATTGAGTCTTTTCCCCTCCAATTGTATCCCTGTGGATTATTGCTTTAGGCCAGGACTGTCAAACTCCCGGCCCATGGGCCAGATGCGTCACGTGCTGGCTATGCCCACACCTGGTTTAGCAAAGGGGGGAAAAGTCCCGATGCGTCACATGGGGCCACAGAGATTGCCGCGCTAAGGTCACGCTTTATGGATAACATTGTTTAGTGATGGAAATTCCAGTCGCAGTTGCCATCTTTAGTCAAGGACTGTGTCAGGGATTCAAGAACTTGTACATTATATCAGCTCTGTGTGTTGTGCAGTAATCTTAATTTGTAAGTAACAATACTTAGAGCTCTATAGTGCGAGGGCATGCATGAAAAGACTGAGTGATGGCTGTACAGTATATAGAATTGTCTGGTATACTTTTGTTCTTGTACAACATGTACTGTATGCAAATGAATAAAAATTATCCTTTGCATATAGGATATGCAAAATATTTGTATGAAGGGAATATTTTTTTTTATGAATTTGCTTCAGGTTTGGATTCCTGTATTTCCTTCATTATACAGTTCCCCCCCCACAAAAAAAAATTGCTTAAGTACAAAATATGTTATTTGTCTTTTTCTCACCCTTTTTAGGCCATTGTAGATTTGCAGGTGGAATTGCCTCACAGTTACCCCTACGTGACACCACAACTTTTTGCGAGATCAAATACATTAGACAGGCAACAACAGTTGCAGCTCAATAAAGACCTTAGGTCTTATATTGCTACTTTGGAGCCGGAAGAACTTTATATATGTGCAGCTGTTCGGTGGTTACAGGATAACCATACATTCAGAGTACAAAACAGTGAAGTTTGTGAAAGAACGACAAGGAAAGAAATAGTTAAAGCACCATTTAAACGCATGTGGATTTACAGCCATCACATATACCGACAAGAACTGAGGAAAAAGATCTTTGAATATGCAAAGAAATTAAATCTGACTGGTTTCTGCCTAGCTGGGAAGCCTGGGGTGATTTGTGTGGAGGGCACGAAAGAAAACTCTGAAGAGTTTTGGCGTATTATTAGATATCCCAATTGGAAACACATTTCCTGCAAGCATCTTGAGACGGGAGAAGCAGAAGGAAATGGGGAAAGTTTCCGTCTCTTTCAGACCTTTGAAGATTTACAGTTTCAAGCTCATGGTGATTATGGATTAAGGAATGACTATCACATGGACCTTGGTCAATTCCTAGAATTTCTTAAGGGTCATCAAAGTGAACACATATTTCAGATCTTGTTTGGCATCGAAGGAAAAAGTCCTGACACGTAGCACAAGTTCACTCCCTCTCTGGTTCTTGACAAGGTTTTGAAATCTTTAAGCATCAAACAAGAACAAATTTACTAGGAGGACTGTTCTGGGTTATATTTGTATGAAATAAAGAGGGAGGATTGGTGTGATTAAAATGTATGATATAATAAAATAAAATCCAGTATTTATACATTTCAAAATGGCTACATCTCTGGAGAGCAGAACATGACACAGCATACAAAATAAGTAGGGCTAAGCAACCCTTTTGAAAAAAAAATGCTTTGCAACGTGTAATATGCACTTGTCTTCAAATCCATAAAGCAGCCATCATACCAATTATTTGGGCTTATATGACTACTTATAAACTGCTTCCAGATGAATCCATATCTTTGTAAGCAGAGAACCCAACTTATTCTAACAAAGCCTCCATCTGTTTCTAAGTACATCTTTTAAAGTATGTTAAAGAAGATTCTCAGGCTTGCCTGGAAGTTGAGACATGGCATCTGGACTTTTCTTTTTTGGTTTGAAACATTTCACTGCTTATCCAGGTAAAAGTACAGTAGACTGAAGAAGCTACTTGGATAAGATGTGAAACGTTTCAGACCAAAAAAGGAAAAGTCCAGTTGCGGTGGCTCAACTTCTTTTAAAGAAGTAGCACAACCCTAGCAACACCTCATTCCTATGTTGCACATTATGAAAGACAGAATCAGTTCGGCATTTTGAGAAGAAACCACTTCATACTGCAGATGTACCTGCTGGAGCTTGCAAGTAGTATTGGGTCACTACAACAGAACATAATCTTTGGACAGCAGTCTGCTTGAGACTCAAAGAGTGTCCTGCAATTCCAAAATCTGGTATTCCCCACCTCCCACTTAGCTTTTTTTTTTTTTTTTTTTTTACTGTTTTCCATTTAATTCTGCTTCAGCTGTGATACAAAGAAACATTAAAACATGCCTTCTGAGACAGGAATAGCTTGACGGATTTTTAAAAAGGGAGATTGGCATCATGAACTTCAACCTAACTCCCTCACACTGAGTAGAGCTAGAGCAGGAAAGAATTGCTAGGGATTTCCTTAAAATGCACTAGGATGGGAGGAAAATGTCTTTATTACTGCCTTTTCTATATAAAGCCATAAATGGCATCATCACCATTCAACAATGAACTGTAAAACAGCCAATAGGATTGTCTCATGGTCAAGATTTTTAAACTTTTGAATTCCACTGAAAATTTGGGAGAGGGGGATCTCAATGCAAAAGTCATCAGTGGCAGAAAAAGTTCGCCAAATGACACTTCTCACTGATCTACAAGCTACAACCATAGATCAAGTAGGCCTAGAGTAGTCTTCTTGAATTGAGAGGGCACCATTAAACATACGTGAAAATCTTCCAAAAAGGTACACTAACAGAGAAGTTGGCAAAGGAAGGAAGACCATGCTTTAAATAATCATATTGATATATGCTTTATCACAGTATTGGTTCATCTGAATTTAATAGCAAAACTAGTTAACAGAACCACCATTTTGTACAGATACTTAATGAAGAATAACCTTTTACTGAACGTTCCTCCTGCCGTAAGCGTTGCCTAGCAGGAATCTAGGAGATACTCTTCCAAAGAACAAGGAAATTATTATACCCAAATTATTTTCATTTGCTTATATGTTTAGATTGTAGCTTAAAGTGAAAGAACATTAACATTTGTAACCCCAAACCCACAGATTTAAAACACAGTGCTGCTAAAAACTGAGTTCTGAGTTAACAAAAGACGGCAATCAACTCATTTCTGGAGTGCTCCATTGTTACAGTGTTGTGTTCTCTGCTTAAACTTTTCTTGTCTGTATTTTCATTGCTTTTTCGGGCCAAATATAAGAGTCTGTCAGAAAGCTTTCATAGTCAGTGTTGTACATCTGGGAGCGGATGAATGCTTCCTTGTCTTCTGGTTCAGGGTAGAAAGTTGCTGTCTTGTTTTTGTAGGCTAGCTCTGCAATCTAGGAGAACGAGACAAGTCCTTCATTGTTAGAATTCATAGTGGCCTGAGCAGCAGCATGATATTCAATGGGGAAAATTCAAAATTTAATAACCAGGTATCAGATTGCCATCGTACAGCGAGCAATAAATCTGTGTTGTGTCCAAGAAAAGATAAAACATTCCTGGGCATCATACCCTTTGAAAGGAAGTGTTACAAACTGTAGCAATCATAATCTGTTAATTCACATCAACTTCATTTCAACTGGGAGTGAAAAAGTTCCAAGAAGATTCCACACCCATTTACACTCTTGATTGAGGTGACCCTGAAAATACAGATAAATCCCCAAAGTGACCTCAATGGCTCTCAAAGAAATGGCTAATGACCAAATGACTACAAAGAAATAGGATCCTTCCATGCTTCCCCCCACTCCGCCATCCAGCCAGTACTAATCCTTCCATTTCCCCCTCACACACACACACACACACACACACTTTCCTACCAGAACTGATAAAGCTTCTTGGATGAGAAGCGAAACATCTTCAAAGAAAAAGCATTTCTTCCTCAAAAAAAAAAACATACTCCAGTTGTTTTTGAAAAAAAAGCACCTTTCATTCAGATGGGAGCATTTCATATTAAAGTACTCAAATTAGAGAGGGATCTTAGATTCATTGCAATAAAGGGCCAACTCACCAAGGGCATTCAGCTCTTTACGACATAAATATGTAATAACTGGCAGTGTACTTAATCCTGTCATCCTGTTTTTCTCAGATATTGTTTCCATTCTAATGCCCAAACAATATTTACAGGACTGCCATTTAAGTGATCTTACAGTGTAAACTTCACTGCATTCGATGCATGTAGATTATTGTAATCTTACAGTTAATATTTCAAATAGACTGTATGTTTAATTTTCTGGATCTTCCATCAGTTATCCTAGTTGATAGTTAAGACCTTTCTGCAAACTGTCCAGTGTTAAAGCAAAGTTGGTTACTGAAAGGATTCTAATTTTGGCTCTTAGGGAACTGTGTATGTATGTATGTATGTATGTATGTATGTATGTATGTATGTTATATATGTCGATACAATTCAAATACAGAACAGATAGTCCTCATTAAATGACCACAACTGGGGCCAGCAATCATTAAGCAAAGGTTGCGATTGAAATTGTGACTGTTGTTATGATCAGCTTTCCTTTGCTTTACAAACCTGAAAAGGTCATAAATGTGAGGATGGCCATAAAGTTATTTTTTCAGTCTAACCGGTGTTAAATGAGACAGTCACTAAATGAGGCTACTTGTATTATGTCTCTGGAGATTCTCAGTCATCCAGGTCATGGTTGTCCCAAAGGTGCTTTTTCAAGAGACAACTCGTCTTTCTGGCTTTTCTTTGAAGACGTTTCGCTTCTCATCCAAGAAGCTTCTTTAGCTCTTGAGCTAAGAAGCTTCTTGGATGAGAAGCAAAACGTCTTCAAAGAAAAGCCAGAAAGACGAGTTATCTCTTGAAGAAGCATCTTTGGAACTATTTGTATTATGTTTACATAAAAGTCTTTGGACTTCTCCACTTGCATCCTAAGTTCAAAATTATTCTGGAAAGTTTTAGAAATTCAATGTATTTCATTTAAATGAATTTAAAGAGATCTGATAAATAAAATTCCATAGGGAAAACTTTAGCCCTATTAACCCTGCAGACTCAAATAACCAAATTTTACTGTTTTTTTGTTGTGTTTTTCACAATAACTAAATACAGATATGAATTTTGGGAAGAACAACAAATATATTTAATTAAATGCACAGATGGAGATTTTAAACTATCACTTCCCATTTTTAATTCAGTTCTTCACAAGGTAGCAATCACATTCAGTTCAAAATATTTTTGAAATATTGTGGGGATGAAGTTCAGTGTTAGAATTTCAAATATGTTGTTATTTCCTATTTCATGTCAGATGATATATTGGTGAAATATAATCACACCATCGATTGTATTCTATTTTAACATTAATATTAAGACTGAAATAATATTTTGTACTATATAATACACTCTATTGTACCATTTTTCTCACTGCTTAAAAATATAGTAAACTAAGTTTTGCCATACAAAAAAAATGCAGGATTGTCAAATTCTTTGACAATAAATTTGCTTTAAATATTGAAAATGTCTGCATTATCAACTTGAAGAGGATTAAATATGACAAGCAGCTTTAAAATTATTACCAGATGTGCCTGAGAGAAGCAATTCCTTACTGATAACAACAAAGCAAGAATAAAAGAATTGGCAGACTTGGAGAAAATGAAAAATGGAGCCCAAAGAGCGAAAAAGTAAGTCAAACTACACCAAAAGCCAAAGATTTGTGGCTGAATCTCCATTTGTTTATGTTCCAACTGAATTACATCTGTACTGCATTTTACTGACCCCTTCACTGTTATTTGTCCTGTTGGATAACTTGCATGCCTTTGTAATACTGATGTCAGAACGTATGACTAGGGAAAGTCAGTTTGAATTCACTTGGGACTTCATTGACTGGATGGTCATCCACAGCCATGGAAGTTTTTTCTAAGAAAAAAAGGATGGTAGAGAATATACATCCTACCAGAGATCCTCAAAGGAAGGGAAAGGAGAAGAGGGACAAGGCAAGGTTAGGCTAACACCCACTTTTTCTGAAGTGGATGTTACAAGCCAGATTTAGACCAATCTTAAAAAGCTGCAGAAGAGAATGGATTCACATCAAAGTAGTTTCAACAGGGACTATGTCAAACAATGGTACAATGTAGGTTTGGTTTGCTACGATTATTTGATTAAAATTATTTATTGTATACATTTTGTTACTGAAACTTCTTTTTGAATCGAAGCATAATGAGCTATGAGAATAACCTTGAGGAACAAAAAGAAGAGTCACCATCAAGACAAGATCAGATAAGAAAAATTGGAGTCCAGGACTTCCGGTTTGGCGTTGCGGCAATGCAGTTGGGGAAATAGTGGGCTCCGATGAGTCCCGCAAAAAACCCGACTGACGAACCGCCGCCGATGGGTCTGTGGACCGAACCTGTCCTGCAGGGACGGGGGAAGAAGAGGGGAGCCTCGGATGGACGAGAGGAACAGGCAAGTTCCTTGGAGGCCAGAGGGAATCCTCTGAGTCGGTGGCGGGGGGCGGCAGCCATGGCGGCTGCCAAGAAGCTGCGACAAGCCGGGAAAACAATTGTGCAGGAGGAAAGAAGAAAGAACAAGATACTTCAAAGCCAGGTGAGTGACACCAACCCTGGCGGGAAGCAACACTTAAGTATGGACTTTTACTAATAAGACCCCCAGCTTTAATTAGCGGCTGTAAGTTTGTGGGGCATGAAGATCTACAAAGTAATAAGAGGAAACAAAGACCCATTAAATTGGAATTGATTTGAGCCTTGGGGAAAAAAGAAAAAGAAAAAAAGGAAAAAGCAATAATTATGGACTTAACACCTTTAAAAGTTAAAAGAAGAGAGATAAACAGATGGTTACATAATGGATACAAAATGGAGATTGCTGTGACTAAGAGAAAGTGTGGATTGTGCAGACTCGTCTTCTGTTTGAGAAAGAAATATTTCAACTCACTATTTGGTTTGGATCTTTGAAAATAACTATGGATTTTTGGATTTTGGAGATTTCTGTCTATGTGGGATTTGATAAAGAAAGAAGAAATATAATGGAACTATTAAAATTGAAACTAATTGGCACAGGAACAAAAGGTGTGGCACAGGAACAAAAGAAGGGAAGCTGATGGACTTTATATGGAACAGATGTTACAAAAGAATTAAAGTGATTTATAGAGTTTCAAACATGGAAACACGGATTTTGAAGTGGAATGCTTATGGACAGATAGGGACATGAAGAAATAAAATAGATAAAATTAAAATGTGATGTTTAAATAGTCAAATGTTTAAATGACTTTAAATATTAACAGGAGGTGCTTATAGAATAATAAAGATGGAGAATAACAGAAGGTAATTAAAATAGAAAATTGATGCAAAGGTGGTAAAAATGGGATTTTTATAAAAATACAAGAGTATATATTAATGTGAGAAAAACCTAAGAAAACCTATTAGATTATGAGAGAATAAGAAGAGAATATGCCTGATATAATATGTTTTAATCTTAAATTGTAAACAAAGTTGAGAATGGTATATATGATTAAATCTGAATGATTAATGTATTATTGGATGATAAAACAAGATACACAATTGTGACTGAATTTAATGTATGCTAGAAATATTAAGAAATATGTTGGGAGTTATCCTGGAAGAGTATGCTATAAAATATGCTGGATATCAGCTAAACAAAAGTTGGAGAGGTGGAGGAGAATATGCTGGAAATCAGCCAAAATAAAATATGCTGGAAATCAGCCAAAACAAAACATGCTAGAAATCAGCCAAACAATAGTTGGAGGTATGGAGGAGAATATGGAAAATTGGAGTCCAAAGCAGGAATATAATTTGAGAAAGCATCTCAGGCTTGACCCTCCCTAGTATTCTTGAACATAAAAGCAGAGAGAGGAAAGGTACAGTCATACCTGCAAGTTTCTGTTACCATAACCTTATAATAAAAGTAATTAGAATTCATAACCTTATCTTGAAGGGCTGACACATAATATGATTAGTCAGTAAAGAATGAACTTACTTTCACAGCAATTTTAAGAGAGACATCTTGAATTGCAGCTAAAGGTGGATATAAACGGCCTTCATCTAAATGCTTCTTTGATACCTGTTGACATATAACCTAGGAAGAAAAAGTATATATATATATATATTAGATGCATGTATTGCTGATACCTTTGTTTAAAGAAGAAAAAGTTGCCTTAAATTTAAAAAAATCAGGAATGAACATATATGGGAGTTTTAAATGACAGTAGCTTCATCTCTGATACCTGCCGGTTTGCCTACATTTTTCTGATTCAATGCTCTGATCCTTTATTTTTTTTATATTATTATTACATTACATTACATTAATTTTACAACTGCTTCTACAGGTGTTTCCTACCAACACCCAGAATATACTAACATATCATGGAAATAACTTTGAAGACCAATTATTCAAAGATCATCTTAAAGAGCTTTATTCTTTTTTTCCTTTCATACAGATATACACTGTAGTCCAGAATTCAATGTAGAGCAAGGAAAGCAGAATTCAAGCAACTTTAGCTCTTTTTAAGCTCTCAAAAATCCCTCTTTCTTTTTATCAACTGCATACAATTGTCAGACCTAACAAATAATTTCAGGCATGTAGAAAAGGCTAGGGGAAAAAAAGAAGACGTCCTTGACTTTGAAAACAAACTCTCCAATTTGAACTTGACTCCCGGTGGCTTTAACTTCATGTTCATGTAATATTCTTGGCATAATACAGACGTGATTTGCCATTGCCTTTTAGGATGCTGTTTTATCAGTTTAGCTTGGGGGGGGGGGGTCTCCTAAATTGGCCACTTTAAGAAGTGTGAACTTTAAGAAGTTAGGAGACCCCCTGAGTTAGTCTGTGTGGTATTTATATAGTGCCTATTTTATGTGGCTTTTTAGATGTTGATGGCTAGCTAGTAAGTCGTTGGCTGTTTGCTTGTACTGCCAAGCCCTCCCCTCCTAAGTACTTGATAAGCTGGTGGTAAATCAGCACTCCTGTTGACTGAGGAGGGGCCCGTTTCCAAGGCTTCAATCACTTCTCTGGCTGTTTTTGTGCCTGCTCGTCCAACAATCTTACTAGCTGCAAAATTGAATCTATGTCCTTGTTCATTTGTTCTGCCCCAGCTACGGACCCCAAAGAACGCAGCACACACAAAGTCTGTACAAACCTTAGTTTACTAAATTAAATCAGTCTTTTTCAAACAAAGGCTGTTAATTAACTTTCTTAACAGCCTACAAGAATCCAAAGAATAAATAATCGTAATCTTACTATGGTTGGCCCAGAAGCAATTTGCAGGAAACTGATTAAGAGAACTAAGATCCAGACGCGAAGGAGAGTGAACGAAGTTGTTCCCTGCAAATTGCCTGTCGTCATCCTTCCTTAAATAGGCTAAGGGAGTGGCCAATTAGCCCCAAGCCTTACTCTCGAGGAGACCTCCTCCTGCTTTTTGGCAGCTCTGCACGCCCGTGCATCGAGAAGAGGCTCCTCCTCTTCTTCCTCTTCACTTATGGGAGCTTCTGAAGGCCCTGGCTGAATCCCCACCTCTGGCACTACATCTTCTCCAGCCTCCTCATTGTCTGATTCGAGTGCCAGCTGCACAGGCTGCTGGCGCAGCACCACACCAGTCTCCTCACTGTCGGAATCAGCTACTAGCTGTACAGGCCGCTGACAGGCCACAACATCATTGCACTGTGAGGCTACCAATGAGTTTGGGTCTCCTCATCTGACCACACATTTGTGTTCTTGCAATCTGGTGGTTAGCTTCATCCTTATCTGTCCTACATAAGGCACAGAGGCAATCCATGCAGGGAATCCAATAGATTACACCGGAAGTGTCTCCCATCTCAAAGCGATCTCTACAATGCATAACCTGTCCTCATATGGTAGCCTCTGGGCAGTGTGCAATGCCCACTTGCAGATCTTGGAAGCTGCGTTCTACAGCTTCCGAAATGTTTTTGATATACGGCATGTACTAGCCCATAAAAATTTAATTTATTTTCTCTTACAGTGTACAAAAATTACTATCTTTTCTTTAAATCTAAAAGCTGGAAAGTGTTGAATAAATGTTATCAAAAATAATATTTTTATATTTTGGAATCCACAAGGGGGAGCTGAAGTTGTTAAGAAAAAGCAGCACAACTTTATATTGGATGCAGCTAAGTAAGTTTTCTTTAAGCAGATCCAAATTTTTTTAAACCAGGCAGCCTTGCAATTTAGGCAGAGTTACAATAATATTTCATTAGCTTAAAGTGCTCAAACATAATTCTGCTTGGTGAGGCACAGAAGAATGATGCTTGTCATCACAGTGAAACTGCCTATAATTAGGCATTATAGCCTTCTGGACTTAAGTGTTTCATTTCCAAACTCTACTTTATTTGGCGTGAAAATAAGAACACCTGAAAACAAGACTCGTATCTTATAATGACTAGAGTGTTTCTTTTATCAACTTTAACTGGAGAGCTTTAACAATTTATAAGATTTATAATTCTATACAGGGGGTGATGGCTCATTGGTTAAAGACACTGAGATTGTTAGCTGGAAAGTTGACAGCCTGGGTTCAAGACCCAAGCGCTGTGTGATGGGATGAGACCTTGCCCCAGCTCCTGCTCACCTACCAGTTCAAGTAGATGAATAGGTACCACTTTGGTGGGAAGGTAATAGCATTCCATGTACCTCAGCATACAGTCATGCTGGCCACATGACCACGAAAGTGTCTTTGGACTATGCTGACTCCCTCAGCTAAGAAAAGGAGATGAGCATTGCCCCCTAGGGTCAGATACGACTCACAAGGGGAAACCTTTACCTTTATAATACTATACAATACAGGAACCCTAGATTTTTGTTCATATTTTCCATAGACCCTGTACAAGTATCCCCATAGACTTCTCCACTGACAACCTAATCAAGAAATAAATGTATTCACATTTCTTAGTTACAAATAGAAACAAGCAAAATAAGAACCACTTTTCAAACTTATTTTAAAGATGCAATCTCTATGATTTTATAGTAGTATTAATCAATACCTTAGGTAGAAAAAGAACCACGGGCAAGGAAGAACCCAGAAAAATGTTTGCAATACGTATTTGCCCGAAGTGATGTTTTCTACTAGGAAACCTTTGCCATTCGACTGCATTTTATACCATATTGTTGTAAATGAACAAGATCATGTGTGACTGTAACTTGCAATTTCACTTTTGCTTTCTCCGTTAATTCTACTTGTTGGAAACCGGTTATGAAGCTCACAAATGGTGATCACGTGACCATAGGACACTGCAACAGTTGCAAAGGTATGCCAGTTGCAAAGCATCCGAATGGTGAACCTGTGACCATGGGACACTGCAGCAGCCTTAAATGAAAAGCTTTTTTTTCAACTGTCATAACTTAGAAAGGTCACCAAACAAGGAAGTTGGTAAGGGGCGGTGGAGGCAACCTGCATTCCCATTTATATATACAAAAAATAATTAATACCTCTGCAGTAAGGAGAAAAATGTCATTACTTATGTTTCTCACTCCACATGAAACAACGCCTAGGGCAATTCCGGGAAATACATAGGCATTGTTCCCCTGTCCAGGATAAAACGTGCGTCCGTCTGGAAGAGTGACTGGATCAAAAGGACTTCCACTTGCAAAAATGCATCGTCCCTGAACAGAAACAAAAATAATATTGCAAAGCGTAGTTTAATGGGAAAGGATGGGCATACATTGAAATGTTCGTGTAGATAACAGTGCTTTTATAAAGTGATTTGCAGCGTGCCAGACTGCAATTTATGCATGTCTCTTAATGATTAAAATGGTTGCAACTTTTTATTTCTCTCTCCAGTGACAGATATTAGGGAAGAAATACATTCTACTAGTTCCTGAATATATATGAAATCCTCTATTAATTGAAATGTTGGCCATATGGTCTTATGGAGAAATATTGCTAAAAACACCCACAAATAAGTCTGAAAACTGCCAAAATAAATACACACAGAGAGACAATTGTATGAATATATACACTAATAATGTGCCAACAAAAAGTATAATCAATTTAAATATAATTCTTCCCTACCCCACCCCAGTACCTCAGTTAAGTAATAGCAATCTTCAGCAGAGCATTCTGCTTTGCTAGTTGGGTTACTGAGTGCAAAAATTATTGGCCGTTTGTTGAAGGAAGCCATATTCTTGATAATATTTTTTGTAAATGCACCAGCAATTGCAGCAACTCCTATGTCAGGCAGAGATATAACAGAATGTTACGGAATGAACAATATTTATCAATCACTCTCAAAGAATATTCTGTAGATGTATTGAAAAACAATTTCATTTAATTATATTTCTGCTCCATTACTTAAAAAAGATAAAAATGACAAGACAGACAGAAGTGCTATTTTAAATTAGTTACATTACTACATATACTGTAGCATCATTACCATCTTCACCCTCACCACAATATGTTTATATTGAGACTGAAAAATAAATGATATAGGTTAGGTGTTGCCATAGTGCAGTGTTTCTCAATGTTAGCAACTTTAGGATATGTGGACTTAAACTCCCAGAATTACTGAATTACTAGCTGTTAAATAAATGAGGCAACTTTGATATAGGCATTTTTTTAGCACCACTATGTTTTCTGTAACCAGAAATGTTTTTGTGAGATTATAAAATCTAAAATAGTATGCCAGTTTACTCTTGAACAAATGTCATAGCCCTCTAGTGAAAGGAAGTCTCCATAATTGCCCAATGCATTCCATTTCTTTATTTTCACTAAGATGTTTCACTGAATATAGTAATAAAATCCTCCCATTGAGAAGTATAGAAATTCTTAAAAGGAAGGGGAATTTTTTTTCCTAACAAAAAGCACATTTTTTTTCTCTCATGAATAAAGTATTCTGAAATATTCCTGACATTATTGGAAGTATTTTCATTGGAATATTGACTCCTACACTACTTTGTGCTATACTTTTTTCATTTCAAGTAAACTGATGCAAGAAAAGTTTCTAATGGATCATGTTGAGAGCAAACTTCAGAATCGGAAACGGTTACAATTTTGGCCATTTTCAGATGAGATTTTAATGAGCTATGCACTTGTTTCATTAGGCAAAATTCATGAACAATCCAGATAACTTCGCTATTTAATCTCAATTGCTGTTTGTTTGTTTTTTAAAGACATCCACATTTTTTTCCTTCTCTTTTAATGGAAATAAAAGACAAACTTGAAATCAAATTGCAAATATTTGATGAGATTGCTCTTCTATAACTATTCTGATACTTTGATAACTTCCTTCGTCCTACATTTTTACCTTTTGGAATTACCTTGAAGAAACATTTTCAAATGCACATAGAGATATTTTTATCAATCTGCTTTATAAATATATTTTAATATGTTTACATAAGAAATATGATTCAGAGAAGAAGCAAATGACAACTTTCAACTCAACAATTATCCAAACTCTTACTCTCCAAGAACAATCCCTTTACTCTTATCTATTGAAGTTGCCTCATGAGTCCAATTATTAAATGTGTTATTAATGTGTTGTTGAATATGAAATCTGTTCATTGCTATAAAATAATAAGGTATTTTGAAATTTGGACTTCATTTTTCAAAACAATATGTTTTAAAAGGTTTCTTAAATCAATTCATGAAATATTTGCATATATCTATCCTAAGATATTAAAAAATAAAAAATAAAAGGAAGAGAGTTTGAGATAGATGAACATATACGTAGGAGGCCAAACATATTTCATCAGAATCTTGGTTTCTTTGCATAAAATCTTAATTGAACAACTGTATCAATGCTCAAACAAAATGAAAAAAGAATAACAGCATTTTTAAAAAGTTCACATCAGGACATTGCCTTTGACAAAAATTAAATAAAGGTGCAATGAATTTACTGTAATAAACAAATACTACAGACCCAAAGAACTTTGTAGCCTTAGCTAAAGTATCACCAGCTTGAACATGTAATCTTGTTTTATTCTTTTTTTCCCTTGCTCTGACAACTTAGAACTCTTACAGAAACTGAAGTTCAAAGCTCCCCATAATTTTAAACTGATCTTACCAAAAGTTATTGTCTTACTTTTTTTTTACTATTTAATGTGAAGTTTGTTTTTAAAAAGCAAACAGTACAATGACAATCATTCCTAGTCATAGCAAAATAAATTAGAAAACAATCTCACTGATGCTTTATGGCTAGATTTGTTAAAACACTGTTTGTTCTTGCTCCAACAATAACAATACTCTTTTTCCTGAGTAGTGTCTAATAATATACCATACATGGCTGTCGCTGAGATTGGAGTTAATGAAAATCTTGGAGAAACATGAGCTAACTTATTTATTCCCAATTCTTCAAGCAAAGATTTTAAACAATTAATCATATGATATTTGACCAATTTTTTCTTGCTTAGGGAGCACTGTTAGGTTAATACAGCATCCAAATAAATATATCCTTTTCATATTCAACACTGAGCATTATATAGCATGGGATACAAAATACTATATCTGATTTTTCACTATAGAAATGGGTCTACAAAAAATTGTATATTTTAGTCTATTTGCAGAGAAAAGGACTAGAGAGACTTTTATAATTTGACTCAAGGAGCAAAATCACAGAACAGATCTTGCCCACTAAGCTTCCCCCCCCCCTTTTTTTATGATCCTATGAATCCCTTTTATAAGGGTGGAGTTGGGACAACTGAATGGAACTGAGCATTTATGAGCCAGATGCCCTTCCTACGCCTATGCGGAGTTCGCAGCAGATAGAGAAACATCTGGCGCTGCATAAGATTGAACTCTCAACCTCCTGAGTGTGAGGCAAGCATCTTCACCTCTAGGCCGCTGTACCGCTCACCCAAGAAGCTATTTATTACATGTAAATACATTTGAGGTCATATATTATTCACACATCGCTTACAGTACAATTCAAGAATCTCTGTAACCTTACCTACTTTCCAAAACTGTGAGAATTACTGTATTTGTTCTTATGCATAAAGATCACAATATTTTTACCCATTTCTCTAAAATGTATGCATATCCAGTATCTGGGTGCATGTATGCATAGGCACATAGACAGACATAAATATCAAATGAAAGTGCAAACTTCGATATACGATCGTTTATTACCTATAAGAACACTTGGTCTTATTTTGTTAACAATGTCTTCTAATTTTTTCATTTCTTCATGCTGATGAGCAAACACTTCTTTCTCAGGTGTTAATGAAACACGACCCTAAGTTTAAAAAAAAGATTACCAGTTAAAAATACAGTTTTAAATTTATTCTGTGTTCTAATGAAAATGTTCAGTCTTCCTTTAAAAACATATTAGTGTTCCTTTGACTTTCTCATCAATAAACCTATAAACTGCAAAACATATGGCATCCATTAAATATCTATTATAGTCAAAGAATTTTAGCAAGCATTTAAATCATATTTAGAAGCATAGTCAGAAATTTTGAGGGGAGTATAGACCTCTAAATTTCTGTGATACTCTGTATTCAGTGACACTGAAAACTTTCCAAAGTTTGTTCGATAAAATGTCATTAAAAATTTCCCAACCTGCATTTTAGAAACTATCCTAATCAAAATACATGTAGAAAGGCTATCCTCATAGGATTCAACTAGTTTTATGGGCCTGGTGACAATGTTACAAAATATAAATAAGTTGCCAGCATCACTGTTTATGTGTGTGTGTATATGCTGAGAGGGTAAGAAAATGTAGAGACATGATAGAAAGACCTCCAACAGAGAAGAACGTGCTGGGCCAGAATATCTAGAAGACAAGAGCTCAAAGGAGTACACGTGTCCCCTCTCAGAAGACATGTCGCTACTGTGCCCTTAGCTTTGGCCACACAAGGAATAGCTATTTGTCCATTTTAGATTTTTCCATCTGAGAAAAATATTAAATGCCACCTCCCTGCTTGCAAAACCTTTTGAGAGAACCATTTTCTCCCGGTCTCTTTATAACCAGGCTATCTTTTATTTTCCCTCAGAGATTGGACATTCTCCAAGTTCCCTAAAATGACAGCAGAGGATTGTTTGACTCACAAGGACAGCATGCATCGCCTCAGGCCTGGAAACTGTCTGAATCTGCTTCAACCATGGCTGCAGTTATATATGGGAGGACCCAACTGACAGGAGGAGAGTTTTCCTCCACACAGAAAGCATACCTAATCCCAAATAATTCTGGAGGGGGGGGGAATATTCCTGCTTCTAGTAATTTTATCCCATAGCTATAAATCTGAATTCTTGATGCAACCCAAAATCATAAAAAATCTTAAGTGCCACCATGATTCAAATGAAGCAGAAGGTAGAACTTTTATCAGATCCAATATATATAAAGTCCAGGAAATATGCAATTATATATATATATATAAACATATTTCACAGAATTTAAAATGAATTGCAAGTCATCAGGATTATGTTTCCTTCAACTATATAGCTGAAAAAATGTATGTTAGATACTAACTTTTCTTCCATTTGGTATAGTAGATGTGTCAGGTACATATTACATACATAAAGCTTAATCATGCAACAATAGGGTTTTAAAGCAGCCCCAGAACAACTATGTTATACTATAAATAACCTTACCCACAGAAAGGGGGGGGAAGGAGGGAGGGAGAGAGAGAGAGAGAAACCAACTTGCCAGGTTTCTGCCATGGTGTAAATTACATCATTGCATTTGTTCTCTTTCTCCGTTTCTTCCTGGTCAGCAACCACAAGTCTTGTTATTTATAGAACCAAAGGCAATGTATTATCAGTGGCAGAGGGACAAGGGATTACATAGTTCTGACATGTGGCTAACAACAAAATCTCCAATATGTCACTTTTCTTGACTCATACTTGATTTATTTGGAGGGCAGAATTTAGCTATTGTTCAGCCACCTTCTCTCTTCCTTATTTAGGCACTGAATATTGTCTTCCATGAAACCAGTCCCTGGTGGCAGAAATGTTGGGAATGTTGGGAATGACTGCCAGTTTACAGAATTCTAGAGCCTTTCAAGATACTGACAACAAAAGCTCTGTCAGTCATTGCACCTAATTTACTGTCTGCTTTGAACCTGAGAAGGACATTTGCCCATCTTTGAAAAATGACTGTACAAACTCTGAATTTACATCTACAAATTCCATTATGTTTTAGGTGTAATTTGTCCTCCCTTTAACTGGGACTTCCTTCTTTCATCATTTTATCTTTTTCTCATATGATTGATACTGCTTTCCTTAAGGGAAAACGATTGAGGTAAAGGAATTAGAACAGATGTGCTTTTTCTCTGTCACTTGACAATGTTTTCCCACCTTATCTTCTTAGACTAACCCTAAACTAGACACCTCTAAACTTTCAACTCCCCTCTCCTTATTTGCTTTCCTGTTTCTTTGTTCTAGATTCTAAGCACCCCTGGGATTTGTATGCTGCTTACAGAATTCCTGCCAATTAGTTTAGTCACTCATATCAAGCTACAACACATGGCCCTTCTTTGCCCCTTCCACTTAAAACGCTCCTCTTCTGTTCCCAGTTAATATTCTTCATTGCCAATTTAAATCACAAGAAATGATAAAAACAACAACTAACTTAGAACTATAGATGCTAATAGATGGACACAGTATTGAATACACGATCTTGCACTATCCTTTCCTTAGAGTAATCTTCCGTGAGTAATAGGAAGTGCAAATCCTTTTGCACATCTCAGTTATCCAGAGTGTTATTAAGAAAATCTTCTTGATAGAAATCAAATATATAATAATCTTCCCATTTGATAAGACTCCATGAAAATCTATCCCATTCAAAGTTTCATTTTTCTCAACCCAACAGCTATGCAATCCCAACTGAGCAATACACACTTTCATGCAGATAACAGTAACATAAATCATTATTCATCATATGAACTTTTTAAAGAGAAGCACGGAAATCCAAGAGGAATTCTAAGTTTATGTTTTGTTTCCAGTACAACCTACTGTAAGAGAGAAGACAAATAAATCAGGTAACATTTTCTTTTGAGGATGGAAATGCTAATTTGAATAAATTATTACTTTAAACTCCCTTTATTATTTTAGTATTTGAGATATACATGTGTTTTGTCTTAGCTCTGTCTAGCATATGGAAGAAATGCGGTCAGAATGCCTTGTCAGGTCTCTGAGCAACTCTGAATGTCTAACCACTGCTGATATCATAAGAAACCACAGCATGCAGGACATGGTCTCTGCTCTTATTGCTATGCAATAAAAGTTATTTGAGGCAACACAGCTGAAGTTTATGTAGAGGTCTGGCATAGATAAAGGAAAATATCAGCAGGAAATTATCTTTTACATCAGCATTTCTTTGCTTATTTTAATAAACAATTTTAGGTTCATTACAAACATAAGATATTCATGATGTGTATGCATGTATGTATATACATATACACATATGTATAGATATTTAAATCTGAAGTTGCAATAGGAATTTAAATACTTCCTTAGTTTTTCGAAGAAACTTACCACATTCTCAATGGCAATATTATTATCCCAACGGATAATTATTATTATCCAATTCTTAGGGATAGTATCCAATTGTAACTTAAGTGTACAGGGAAAAATATACTAACTTTGAGAGTATGTTGCTTCTGTTATTATTATTCAATGTACCTAAAAAATTTTAAATCGTAATGTGTGTTTGTAATAGAAAGGGAAATGCTATTACCTTTACAATTAATCCTTTTGAATCAACCATCCAGATCTTTTTTATGGCTTCTTTTTTAGATGTCCCTTCCTTTTCCATGCCCATAATGAGAAGACTGGCTATGCCCATTGCTGCCTGTTGAGAAAAGGAAGAATTAGTGTACAGATAATAGAGTGTAACAGTGATGGCGAACCTTTTCGGCACCGGTCAGCTGGTCTTCGGGTTTCCGGCGTGCCGGCACACGTGAAAACCAGCTGGCCGGCGTGCATGTGCACACCGGAAACCCAAAGAGCAACTGGCAACGGCCCGCGTGGCCACAGAGAGGGCTCTGTGTGCCGCCTCTGGCACACTTGCCCTAGGTTCACCATCACAGGAGTATAACTTCAATATACCTCTCTCTCACACACACACATACACACACATACAGTAGAAATCAATTCAGATCTTCCCATCTACATATATATTTATACATATGCAAATATATTTATTTTTATATGAAAATATAAAACATCACTTCCCCTTTTTAATGCTTATGCACCACTCTGAGTTGCTATATTTTCATTTCTGGGCAAATCACATACCCATTAGACACAACAATATTCACAGACATTTTGATTTTTAAAAATTTTCATTACCAAAACAAGCCAGAGGAGTAACTCATCTATTTGGCAGCACTTACACACAATCTCCATAATAGCCTCCAATTTAGCATTTTCCTCTTCCTATTTCAGGTTACAGAGATCAACAAAAGATGAACTGCTTAACAAAGCCAGTACTACACCAGCAAGCCATCTAATTGTTAAGGTTAGGACATTTCTATCTGTCATCTCTTTGGCTTTCAAATCTACCCACCCCCACGCCCCTTCAGTTTGGACAATACAGGTTGTGCAATTTTTTTAAAATGAAATGACTTAGTGATACATTAGAATTGGTCATCATGCCCTTTGAAATGTGCCTTGACTGAAAACTTGAGTTGGCCACTTTGATTCTTTGCAGTTCACAGCAGAATGAATATGCTTATTTGCTCACCTTAGGGAGAAAAAATGACTTTAGAATAATCAGACTTTGAGTTTTTACTTCAGAATTGAAAGGGATTATTTAAATAACGAGACTAAACAAGGCATTATTTCTGAGTTAACATCTGTACCTATTTTATATGGCCTTGGAACATCTACAAATGCTGACATTACACTTTTTTTGGTATTGTATAACCTCAATAAAAATCTTCTGGCACAAAGTGTTAGTTAGTTTTGTACATTTGATTTATTTTGACTCTTGACAGTTTCAGAATATACATAAAACATTTCATGACCCAAGTTCACAAATTATGAAGAAAAAACTCCCTGTTTATTCATTAATCAGACAAAACCTCTACATCTGCATATAAACAATGAGGTTCAAAGAAAGCAAGTCCCCATTACTAATTACTTTTTGCATCTAGATCTTGCCTTTTTATGAGCTTAAAGCACTATACTAGAGGTCACTTTTCATTTGCTTCTCAACAATGGCCCAGAGAAGGAACCTGAGCTAAAAATCTGATAATCTCCATGTTTGAGTTGAACCTGGTTCTCTCAGGTCCTGGTTTGAAAATCTAACCACTATACTACATAGTCTGTTGTTCTCATCCCTTATACAGAGTTTACTCACAACCAAATTATTAAAAGGGGGGAAAGAAATGGGACAGAGTATTTCTGCTGATGCAAATATGTAGATAGTATACCTTATATTGAGGTTTATTTATTTATTCAAGGCAGCAAACATATCCAACACCTTCCTCCTCCTATTTTCCTCAAAACAACAACCCTGTGAAGTGGGTTGGGTCTAAAGAGAATGATTGGCACAAATTCACCCAGCTGGCTAAGGTGGAACTTGAACTCATGATCTCTCGCTTTCTAGCCTGGTGCCTTAACTACTAGTCCAAACTGGCTCTTATACATAGCCAATTTTGACTTCCAAAGTAACAAAGGAATCCTTTAGTTACCTGACATAAAAACTCAAAGTCACTTAAACATAAAAGCATAAATATATGGTTCCATGGCTGGGGATTTTTTTTCCTGTGCACACCCTGAAATTTCAGCTTGTTGGTACAAATTCCTCAGGATGTGAGGAATAAACTGAAAAGGTTTTTTATTTAAACAAAAAAATAATGCACTGAGGATCTAATTGTGGTGTCAATAACAAATGGCCTACATTGATATGGCTACAAAAGCATTTCAACATTTAGACTCCCTGGCATTGTTGTATTTTAACATATTTATATATTGCATCTTGTCTGCATGGAATTCAAATAAGTTTTCTATCTAGATTCTGACTAGTCACAGACTTCATTCGGTTCAGAAAGGCTTCTGGATTCAATCTGGCTGAGCTGACTTACTAAAAATATATCTGCCCAGCCAGCAGCACCAAAGGAGGAGTAGGGTGCAGGAGTCAAAACCAGCAAGTCAGAATCTTACAATGTAAGCCTCACCCATTTTTTATGCCCAATGATGTCAGACAGGGTGGGATGGAGCATTGCAATGCTCAGGCCAGCATCTTGTCAATTTGAACTACACAGCCACACAATTCTATAGTCATTTAAACCATGGGGATCTACCAACTGCTGCCCCTAAGGCAGGGGTGGGCAACTATGGCCCTTTTATGACTTGTGGACTTCAATTCCCAGAATTCCTGAACCAGCCATGTTAGCTCAGGAGTTCTGGGAATTGAAGTCCACAAGTCATAAAAGGGCCATAGTTGCCCACCTCTGCCCTAAGGCAATAGGGTAATAGGCAAACAGCCAATCAAATAAATATTTGACCAAACTACAAATATGGCACAGAAACACCTCTTTTCTCAGAAAAGTGACATAGCAATGAAAAAAAAATAGATAAACAAACCTCTCCAGCTCCCTGAAAGAGTACTGTATGATCAGACAGTTTATTTTGAGTTATCTGGAGTGCAGCAAGGAGACCAGCAACAGCTACAGATGCTGTTCCTAAAATAGAATAAAATAAGAAATAATGGTATTACATCTAAATAACAGCTCATGTCCATTGATAACCAATCACACATCTTTTAGGTGAACTTTAAAAACAGAATTTGTCCTAGATGCATTTTTTTTTTAAAAAAAATTTAATGTTAAACTGAAACACACACAAGCACTCATTCCAGGTTTCCTCACCCCACTTCAGTGGTGGGTTTCAATTTTTTTTACTATCAGTTCTGTGGGTGTGGCTTGGTGGGCATGGCATGGTTTGGTGGGCGTGGCTTGGTGGGCATGGCATGGAAAGGATACTGTAAAATCTCCATTCCCACCCCACTCCAGGGGAAGGTTACTGCAAAATCCCCATTTCCTCCCAATCAGCTGGGACTCAGGAGGCAGAGAATAGATGGGAGCGGGGCCAGTCAGAATTTTTACTACTGGTTCTTCGAACTACTCAAAATTTCCGCTACCGGTTCTCCGGAACTGATCACAAACTGCTGAAACCCACCTCTGCCCCACCCCCAAAAAATCTGCAGAAAAGTTACATTGCACATGTATGCATTGCACATTTCACATCAATGTGAAAAAGGATCCTACAGAAGCCCAGGTCTGAAAATATCATTTAAACCATGAGGTCCAATTCCACATCTAGGACAGGAAATCTAAAGCATGTTATGCTTTCTCATTTTAGATCAAGTTCACCCCACCAGCCCTACAATCAGAAGAAGGTTCAAGAAGGCACACCAAGAGTAGCATTTGCCTTTATATTTGATAATTATTGAAATAGGAAGAAAAGGCTAGAGATTTAAAATGCTAATGAATACAGCTAGTGGAAAACTACATAGAAAAAATAATTAGGAAATAATTAAGCCCAGAAAACAATACTAATTCTCCTATGATATAATATCTTATTGTAAAAACAATGGAGGGCTGAAGTTACTACTCCTTTTCAAGTAAGAGTTCACCACTCTTCTCACCCTTATTCAATTGCATCAAATGAAAAATTTGATAAAGTATTATGATAATACTCTAGATAATACCCTCCAGGAACACAATTCATTATACATAGGAATGTTAAATGTGATATTATTTGTCCATAAAAGAAAATATTTTGTTACACAATGTATTAAGAAGATCAGTGGAGATTTGAAGAATGAAGCTGCTGAACAAGCCAAGGCTATTCAACATTAGAAAATGTCACCAATACAAGAAAAGACTGTCATAAAGTATCAAACACCATGCACTGAAAATTGCCATTTTCCTGCAGAATTTCAGCATTGTGAAGTTGTAAGAGTTTGGGATTCTCAATGAGATGATGAGGTTAATGAGATTTAGGAATACAAATTCCTCACCTGTATATATATTTAGGAAATGTTAAGCTATGATAATGAGATGATTGATTGATTATATGCCATCAAATCAGTGTTGACTCTTAGCAACTGTATGGACAGATTTACTCCATGACAATCTGTCTCTAACCTGGTCCTTTGGGTCTGAATCCATCAACTTTTTTCTCTTTTCCTCCCTCTTTCCCAGCATTAAAGCCTTTTCCAGAAAGCTGGGTCTTCGTACAATGTGTCTGAAGTAGGATAATTTGAGCCTAGTACCTCAAATGGGAACTCAAGTTGTTGATATATTCAATGGGCTTTATTTCTTGGCTGTCCATGGTATTCTAAGAAGTCTTTTCCAACACCCATGTTCAAAGGATACTCTCCCTATTCTGCTTCTTCAAAGTCTTCTTTTTGCTTTCATAGAATGTCACAGGAAATACCATTGGTTGCACTATTTTAAACTTCGTAGGTAAATGTGTCTTAATAATATTGTATTTTATCAAATCATCTTTGGTCTCCAAAGAACTGAATTAGCAGATTTTTTTTTTTTATTTGATTTATATGCCGCCCTTCTCCAGAGACTCAGGGCGGCTTACAATGCGCTAAGCAATAGCCTTCATACTTTTGTATATTTATACAAAGTCAGCTTATTGCCTCCACAACTGGGTCCTCAATTTACCTACCTTAGAAAGGATGGAAGGCTGAGTCAACCTTGAGCCTGGCGAGATTCGAACCTGCAGTAATTGCAGGCAGTTGTTCTTAATAACAGGGTGCTTTAGACCACTGTACTACCAAGGCCCTTTTGATAGTCAATAGTTCTTGCATGCATATGCAAGAATTAGTAAAGGGTAAAAGCAGGGGTGAAATCCAGCAGGTTCTGACAGGTTTTGGAGAACTGGTAGTGGAAATTTTGAGCAGTTTGGAGAACCGGTAGCAGAAATTTTGAGTAGTTCAAAGAACCAGCAAATACCACCTCTGGCTGTCCCCAGAGTGGGGTGGGAATGGGGATTTTGCAATATCCTTCCCCTGGAGTGGGGTGGGAATGGAGATTTTGCAGCATCCTTCCCCTGCCACGCCCACCAAGCCATGCCCTCCAAGCCCACCAAGTCACGCCTACAGAACCGGTAGTAAAAAAAATTGGATTTCACCACTGGGTAAAAGCTGTATTCAATTACTAAAAGTGCTGGGAGTCCACAGATGGCTCATGACAAATAAACCAGGGAAGCATCTTTAGCTCCCTCTCAGGAGAGCTAAAATGTGACAGTGGGACAGCAAAGATCCATCAGTGTCTCTCTTCAGGCCAGCGCAGGAAATCCACAAAGGGCTTGTATACTTTACCCCTATCATTATGTGGATCTACAAGCACATGATGTAATGGGTTGCCTGGATGTGACACAGAGTCTTTATAAATAGTAAGTTATTAAATCATATTGTCCTCTGCTAAACAGGGATTACAAATATTTCATTACCTTGAATATCATCATTGAAAGTGCAGTATAAGTTGCGATATTTATTCAGAAGACGGAATGCATTTTGGTTGGCAAAATCCTCAAATTGAATGAGACAGTTTCTGCCATACCTAAGGGTACAAAACATTATATATTTAAAATGATAACAGTAAAATTAAATTACATTAATAGTATATGATTGCTCCTCCAATATTTTTTCAATTCCATGTCAACATGCTTACTGTGAGCAAAAGACTTGGCATTAAACAGATTTAGATGCTTAATCGTTATTTTAAATTTATCCATTTTAAAACAAAACTGAAGCAGTGAATTATATGGCCTTTTAATAACTAGAAGCTATCCCTACATGGATAATTTTCTGGGCATTTACTTCTGTACGTAAAAATAGCAGTCAGTGACAGACTCCTTGTGCTGAAAGGAATTACTTTGCTATTTCTTTAAAAGAGGAGTAGAAACAACTCAGGCTTTGAATTTCCACAGCATTTATTGCAGAGTAATGGACTGGGACAAATTTTGTTTGATATGTTTCATATAAAATGTTATCTGTTTTAAAATGATCGTGAAAACGTTTCTATAAAGCTTGTAAAAGTCATTGTCAGCATTCTAAGCAAGCAATGGTGTCTGCAAAGGGAAGTCAAAAAATATCAAAATGGTGCCCCTATTCATATGATCAAAGTCTTCCTCTTTCATACATGTATCATTTCCAGATAATTTCTCTTTCAGATACTACTAGAACTATGATAGCTAAGAAAAAGTCTGTTGATTATATAATGCAGTAGCATTATTTCTATCAATTTTATGAAATATATTTTTTGGCAAACTAGTAACTTAACTCTTGTACAGATTAACCTAGTGTGTAGGGCTTTTATATTAATTTACTAAGTAAAAAAGTACAAAAGAGCGGGCCTCCACAGGGTGCCATCAGCCAGACACTGGCGGCTAGCGGCCCCCAGGGGGAGAGCGTTTTCTGTGGGAGCGCCAACCCTCTGGAATGGGCTGCCCACCAGTCTCAGGACAGCCCCTGACCTCCTCTCCTTCCGCCGCGAATTGAAGACGTGGCTTTTTCACCAAATGGGCTGAATCCTTCGGGGTGATTTTTAATAATTTTAATTAAATTTTTAATTAATGTTAACTAATTTTAAATTGACTGTTGTTTATGTAATTTTTTCTTCCTTCTTGTAAGCCACCCTGAGTCCTTCGGGAGAAGGGCGGCATATAAATTGCATAAATAAATAAATAAAAATAAATAAAATGTACAAAAGACTAAATTCAAGGTTTGTTTCAATCAACGGCTAAAGTTAGAATTTTCAATAAAATCAACATAAGGTATACTATAACTTAGTCATAAAATTTCATACAGCACTTATGAGATCATTTTAGCAGTATAGAGCAAAATATCCTAATTTATTTTTCAGGTTCATTTAATGAAATGTAACTACCAAATAATGATGTTAGCAAAAAACTTTGGTGTTAAATGTTTATAGCACAAACTTGAAAATGTCAAACCAAAATAGTAAAAGCATTTGAAAATATGAAATGTGCTCTTTCATTGTACTGTTATTTTAGGTTGTGAAGGATGGAAAACCTTCTATACCTCAGTTAAAATGCCTTTTAACAGAATGTAATGTGAAATAATTGTGTTTTTTTAAAGAAAATAAAGGTCTAGAATAAAAACTGAATTCAGAGTTATTAGATAAAAACTGAATTAAAAATGTTGATAACAATTCTGCAAGGAATCTAATTCCATTTTGGAATGTATCCTTATGTAAATTCTCTAAAAGTAATTCCATTTAGATTAAATCGATTCTGTTCACCTGTGCATGTAAGTATACATGAATCAAATTATGACTTATTTGCTGGTATTGTATTCCGAAATCCCATGGAAAAATATGTAGGGACAAATGCCATTGTAGTATTTATCTGACACAAATGGTTACCAACTTGATCAAACATGAATGCTTGCTTGAAGTCACACTAAGTTTTATCAAATCAATATTTTTCTTTAAGATTTCATGTAGAAATCCCTCTGTGATTCTATGTGAAGTCTCAAAACAAACGAACAAAACATAACTTGAAAGATACTTAAAAGTGTTATTCCCTAACACACAGGAGTAACTTTAGGCCAGGTCATTTCAACAATTTAATGAAGCTACTGTGATTATCACATTTCACTAAAGCTTGTAGCTTATTGAATTGGAAAGATTATTCCTCTCTTTATGCTATTACTGTCTTTTGCTAAACAGTTATTCCATCTGATGCTCAAAGCTTTCACTTCAGCAGCCTTCCGGGCATTTGATCCTGTTGAGTTGAGTGTTCAGGTTCCTGTTTTGCCATCATCATCATCCTATCTTTTCTTTTCAATTTGTCTGAAATTTACTCAAATTGAGCATTTGAAACTTGGTGACAGTCTAGGAAATTTTGTTACAGACTAGCCACATGAGTCAGAAAACATCTGGATTCCCTGATCTCCACTGCTTCTTACTCATAATTACTGCTGCCCACTTTCCCATCTGGTCTTGTGGCTGCCTCCTTCCTTCAGCTCCAGTGAGAATCCCACGTATCCAATTTTTGTTTTCATTAAAATAAACAAAAAGGCAACCAAGTTTGAACGGTGTTCAATGTTGTTATGGTGGCCATTCCTACTTTCTAGATCCTTAGCATCTCAGTAATACAGGTCCATTTAATATCTCCTTTTTGATGTCCCAGTTTCTTTAGGGCAGGGGTGTCATTCATCTATTTCTTTTGTTCTTTAGATTCTAGACTTTCATTGTATTGACCATCCATTGTCCATCAATAAAGGATAGCTTTATTGAGAAAAAATACCAACAGATCTCTCTGATCTATCAAGCTCAGATTGGCAGCAATGTTCTGAAATTTGATGCAGTGATTCATTTCATTTTCATTTTTTCATTTTTATTTGATTTATATACCGCCCTACTCCCGAAGGACTCAGGGCGGTGAACAGCCACAGATAAAACACATAAATACAAAATTTTAAAGCAAAGTAAAACCGAATTAAACAATTTGATTCAAGCAAGATTTCACATGTGCAACACTACGTATGATCCTTTAACAGGAAATATGTTTGCAACAGGAAACTTTTATTCTCAACAAGACTTTTCCAGGGCACCTGCACAGCAGAAAACAGTAGGTGGAAGAAAGCTCCATTGGGAAATGTTAGCAAAACTGTTCACACTTCTTTGCATCAGGACAAAATTACATCCCACACAGTTATGAGGGTAGGCAGTTCAAAATTTAAGATTAGGGACTTTAAATGCAATACACTCTGTGGTTTGAATAATAACACATCTGTTGCATAGGATTAAAAAGCTTTGAAAGGGAGCATTTTATATTTTTTGCTTAGGAAACCTAATACCTACTGCACAACAGCAGCCAGCACATTATGGCCAAGTGTTGCAGTCCACATGTGTGAGAAAAGCATGTGGATGTTCATTTCAACAGCCCCAATTTGCAGGAAGCTCAATATAGAATAGAATAGAATTCTTTATTGGCCAAGTGTGATTGGACACACAAGGAATTCGTCTTTCGTGCATATGCTCTCAGTGTACATAAAAAGACAAGATACACTCGTCAAGAATCACAAGGCACAACACCCAGTGACAGGGTGGCAGTCTGGATTTAGCTATGGTTACACATTGCAAATTGAATTTAATGATGTTTATTTTGCCACCTACATTATGAGGCCCAATTGCTGGCCCAATTTTGAACCATAATTTCATTAATCTGCAATAAATCGATCAACCCTTTTTATACTATATTAATTATTATTCCATTCTTTTTATCCCTTATTGACTATGATGCTGAAAGCAGAGAGAGCAATTTTAGCTTAAGTTAAAGATTGAAATAAGCAACATATGTTCTTTAGACATAACATGATTTTCAGAAACCATATTTTTACTAAGGGAACCTTGGTTTTTTCCATGCCAGAAACTTCTACAATTAGTTTATCATCTTTTGAACAAAGGAAGCATTTAATAGTAACATATTGTCTATAAGTACATTAATAAAAACAGTAGCATTTATTTATGAGAATGCATATGTTGCCTGAACCTGCCCTTGAACGCTAGAGAAGGGTCATTTTCATACATTTGCTCTGCAGCATCAGTGGAAATTAAATATGATAACACACCTTGCTAGCCAGAATTCTCAAAATGTCACCTGTGTATTTTACACTATTCCCACAATCATCTTGAAAACACGCTGTTTTAAACATTCTAACAGTTATTTCAAAGATAAATAAGCTGTAATTATATTTAATTTTTAAAAAGTTAAATTAGTGTTTAACAGACAGAAATTATGCGTATGCATTTTTCCCCTTCAGATCTGCATGGTCAGCAAAGGCATGGCAGAAACTCTGATGTAAGATTGTCAGAATCAATTCTGAGTATTTCAGATGGTAAAGATATGACCATCTGAAATAACTGGTAAAGAAATAAAGCTCTTAAAATGTTATACTGTGTTTCTAAATCAGGCACATTAGTTATTAGTTCAAAATACATCGCTCTTACTTGGTTTCTTAATGATTTTTCTGATGAGAGAACTATGATCGTTTAGAGATTTGGAAAATATTCCTTTGTATTCCCCAGTCTACTATGAACACAACCCTTATGCGTGTTTTCCTCCCCCGAGATGACAATAGAAGAAGCTGACTCGTGCTGGTTCAAATTGCTATTATTCAGCTTTACTTTATTTCTGAACAAACCCTTGCACTTTGATTGGCTGCTACATTTAAGTAAGAATGCCTCTTCGCCTCTGTCAATGATAGCCATCCTGCTGCAATCTAATTTTTGCTGCAAATACTGTTAGCAAGGATGCTTCACTAGCACAGCTGTTATAACATTTGCCTGACACACAGAACTTATTCAAAACCTGGCAGAAATAATCATAATTCCCTGTTTCTGCTGGGCTTTTGTGCTTTTTTCCCCTGTAATAAAGTCACCGGGCTGAGGGTGCCTCTCCATTTGTCATTGCCTCTCCAATTGTCTCAGATAGAAGGGTCATAAAGCCAAAATGGACTCACTTTTTAGAATCAAACCTGAAGTGCTGCACTACTCTAATAAATATACTATACTGTTTACTGCAAAAGCGC